GTTGCTGTGGCCCCTGACCGGCGTCGCCCTTGCGCGCGAGGAGCATCTCCTCGCCAACGCGGACGCGCGCGACGCGGCGGGCCCGCTCAAGGCTCAGGGCCGTGGCGGCGGCGGTGGGATACTGGCGCGCGGGCGGGACGTAGGCGGTGCCGAGCATCTCGTCGACGGCGGCCTCGGTCTCGGGGGTCCGGTCCCGGTAGGCATAGCGGATGTCGTTGTTGCGGGCTAGGTTCGTGTGCGTGACGCTGGTCGGGAGGATGGCGCTCGCGGTGGCGTCTGTGTCGGCCGAGGCCGCGGCGGTGCTGCTTGCGGTCGAGGCGCTCAGGTGCAGAGGGCAGCGGCGCTGGAGAAGAGACGGAGGGCGCGGCGGCTGGTGTCGTCGGCCATTCGGGATCGATGCGGCTGCACTACATCGAGGTACGCCGGGCCGGATGGCGCGCGCCCTGAATAGTGCCGTGACTCCCGCATACATGGGCGTACTACGCCGAGCGTACGGGCCTTGCGGTATTCATGAATGTGGTTTGCTGTTGGTTGGATGGGCTGGATGATGAAAAGTTTCGGGGTCCCTTCGTTAGCAGGGCTGGGGCGTCACGTGCAGCCGTTGGGTGTAAGAGTCAGATTGATGGCAGCCAAATGTTTAAAACGCGACGGGTGAAGAAATTATGCAGTATGGCGAAAGTGATGATGGATAATGTAGCATAACTTTTATTTGATTTATTTATCTTTTGTGGCATATGTGCATGACCGATAGCGGAAACATGTCTTGAGAGACAGGCAAACAACTATCAGTTGGTGGAGTTTTCCCCTACGACTTCAACAAGAAATATACAAGAATAGATAAAGAAAACCCCGGCTTATGTGGTATGTCATTTTTGGTTATTAGGGAGAATATATCGCTATCGTTCTTCTTACTCTCATCAAGGCCCTTCTTCGCAGTGCTGCTGTAAGATGCAAAAGATGGACGGAGTCTGGAAGCAAGGCACTCGGAGGGCGCATCCCGAACGTGACCGACAACCGCCTGCCCCCGCCTCGTAAACCAATCGCATTACACCGCATGACACAAAGTCCACGATGGGCGACACCATACCCTGCCTTGCCGGCCTTGACGCTTGGCCAGATGGCTAGATCCATTATCTTGGCGTCCGGGGCTTGACCGATATCGCAAGATGGTGTTGCGACCATGGCAAACAAAGTCCAGGTTATAACACCCCCCCTTCAGCCATCGTCCTACCGCCTTTCTCAGCTGCAAGTAGTCGGCCATATCTACTCTTCATTGTGAGCCGGCAACATGTCAGCTTACCGAGCCCGCTTGACCCTGGGACACCTGACCACAAACAACGGCTTGCGATGGTCACCTCAGAAAATAGCGAGAGTTGGGGTGCTGCTACCTACCCAGCGGCGTGCTCGCCGGACTGCGTCGACTGCTGCCGCCGCTACGCCAGTGGCTGACCGGCCAAATTCGGTGGCTACAAGTGCGGTGCTACACAGAAACATTAAAATGACGCCGCTACAGGTCGTGGCAGCCCATGGAACGGCCATGCGGTTTTCCAACGGCCATGAGGTGGAAGACACCACAGGCGGGGCCTCGGTCGCCTGCCTGGGACATGGCAACAAAAGAGTGCGGCAGGCAATGATTGATCAAATGGACAAGTTCTCATACTGCAACTCCATGTTTTTCGGCCATCAAGTCGGAGAAGATCTTGCCACGGAGTTGATCAACGGGACTGGCAACGCAATGGCCAAGGCGTACATTGTGTCATCTGGTTTGTCACGTCCGACACCTTCTTGGATAAAACGGGCAACTAACATACAGCAAGGGTCCGAGGCCATGGATGCAGCTATGAAAATGGCAAGACAATACTATATGGAACTGAGCCCCAAACAGCCGAAGCGTATCAACTTCATTGCGCGCGAGGGCTCTTATCACGGCACCACGCTCGGCGGACTGTCAATGAGCGGGCATGTTGCCAGACGAAGCTTGTTCCTAGATATGCTACTACAAAACGTGCATCGGGTATCCGCATGCAATGCCTACAGAGGCATGAAGCCGGGCCAGACCGCGGAGGAGTATGTGGAGCAGTTGGCGGACGAGCTGGACAAGAAGTTCCAGCAACTTGGTCCGGACACAGTCTGCGCATTCGTTGCTGAGCCCGTTGTTGGAGCGGTGAGTAGTGAACGCACTGAATTACAAGCATGCATTGACAGGTTGTCCCCTTGACAGGCACTAGGATGCGTCCCCGCCGTGCCTGGCTACTTCAAGGCCATGAGGCGGGTGTGCGACAAATACGGCGCCCTGCTGATTTTGGATGGTGCGTGTAAATTCTACCTTGGTGATAACTCATAGCTAATTCTTTTGGCAGAAGTCATGTCTGGCATGGGCCGTTGCGGATCATTGCATGTATGGCAGCAGGAGGGCGTGGTGCCTGACATACAGACAATGGCAAAAGGACTGGGGGGGGGATATGCTCCAGTGGCCGGGATGATGATCAACCATCGCGTCGCAGATGCTCTCACGGCCGGGACCGGGTTTGTTACCGCGAACAGCTTGCAGAACCTACTGCTAACATGACATTAGGGCTTTCATGCACGGGCACACATACCAGGGCCACCCAGTCGCTTGTGCTGCCGCCTTGGAGGTGCAGCGTATCGTCCGCGAAGACAATCTTGTAGAAAACGTGAAGCAAACTGGAAAGGTGCTCGGAAGTCTTTTACATCAGGAACTGGACAGCCATCCGAATGTCGGCAACGTACGAGGCAAAGGGCTCTTTTGGGGTGTAAGTGCAATGCGTGGGGGGGGGGGCTACGTATGACGACTACGCTGACACAGTTCAAGATTGAGTTTGTGCGTGACAAGGAAACCAAGACCCCTTTTCCAGTGACGGCTGGTATTGCGAATGCAGTGCACACGACGGGTCTGATGGATGTGGGAATTATGTTGTATCCGGGCATGGGCACGATGGATGGCGTTCATGGTGACCACGTGCTGGTCTCGCCGGCGTACACGAGCACCGCCGAGGATATTGGTGGTATCGTGAAGAAGATTAAGGAAACGGTCGATAGGACATTCGCTGGGATGTGAAACCGAGCAGGTCCTCTTGGAAGGAAGGACAAGCGCCAGCCGACAGCCATCTGGCGACGGGCGTCTCAACACAAATTGAACACGAAGAACTACGCTGTACTAGGGTATAACTGTCCTGCCTCGATAACTACGGTACACGTACTTGTGATCGACCATTTATAACTCAGCTTGATTTACCCAAATAGCACCGTGTGGTTCAATAATCCGCTGTCCCATGCGACGTCTTACGCATCATCACCAGTTGCAAAAGTCTCGCGACCTGTTTGGACTTCGGTCGGCCATTTGGCACTCTTCAGCGCCGCCTCGGCCAAATTGATGAGCATCAGATCACTGCCCTTGGCGCCCATGAAGCTGCTAACAATTGGAAGATGCTCTTCCAATCCACTGATGCGCGAGCTGTACGGCTTCTGTCCGACTTTTGAATCAATGTCAGCTAGAATTACACGTATGTGGAGGCACCGATCACATACTGGGGATGATGAGCGTTGGAAGCTGAAGTACTGCTGGCAGATAGAAGACCGAGAACGAGCCGACGATACTAGGTAGCCTTTTATTGGTTAGGAGGAACATGTTCCAGAGGCAAGTGTGAGGGTCGAGGACGTACTTATTTGCGTCGTCGCGATACTTTGGACTCGCAGAGCCAAAAGGCATGACCATCACAGCATCGGTAACAGTGTCGTTATGCTGACCCATGATGTTAGCTTCAAACCAAGTCCTGAAAATCTTCATTTCGGCTACGCCCTGGGCGCGCTCTTCCTTTGTGAATGGAACAGCAATGCTCCTAGGTTAAGATTAGCTCCATCGTTCGCCTCATCGTTGCAACTCGATTCTGTTATCTACCATCGTTTGCGCATGTAGGGTCCCACAAATGCCTCCTTTCCGAATTTCGCAAGGTAGTCGGCACGGAATGCGTCGAAGGTGTGGTACGTATCGTAATACATGGGCCAAACTGCGCTCTGTTCAACATTTAGCCCAAGGCAACCTACGAAATTGAATTGAAGCAAAAGACAGTTACCATGCCTAAAAAGTCTTGCAGCGACTTCCCCTGGGCTTCGTCGGGAGGATTCGATGCCCATGTATCCGTGATACTGATGGGAGTGCGCTCGATACCAAGAAAACTCTCTACGGTTGTAATGAAGGACTCGGTCATGGCTTGTTGATCGGCATCTGCCTGCGGGAAAAAGTCCAGAGGATAAAGCAACCGTTTCGGAAACTTGAAGAGTCAGATGTGCAAGATGCACCGACAGGGTAGACGACTCACCCGAGACGAGTCGGGAACATCCAAAGTTGCTGCGGTCAGATGCTTGGCATCCTTCAGACTTCTGTGGAGCGTCCCTACTGTATCGAATTCACTTTGTGAACCAAGATTAGACTCATTGATAGCCCAGGAATGGAGCTAGTGCGCATACTTGCAGCTTGGGACAATGCCCTGGCGTGAGGTGACACCATAGGAAGTCCTGAGGCCAAAAAGGCCATTGAAAGCCGCAGGAAGGCGTATGCTACCTGAGGCTACGGAGCAGTAAGCAGGAGAAGATGGAATTTGCTGGGAAATGGGCACTTACTGTCCGTTCCAATCGAATGGTCGAGCCAAGAGTAGCCTGCAAGAGATGCACCGGCGCCAGTAGAGCTACACGAGGGAGTCTGATACTCGTCACCCCTGGGGTTAAATGGGCAGTGGTAGTCGATCCACTGATCAGTTGGCTCCTCTGCCGAGGCAAAGGCAGACATCTTGGTCTTGCCTACGATGACAGCACCCAGTCCAATCAGCTTCTTGACATAGTCTGCACTGGACGAACGGGCTGGGTATAGTTCGTTGTAGGCTCGATTCATCATGGTGGTCCGGATTCCGCTCAAGTCGTAGTTATCTTTGATGCTGATACGGGCACCAGCGAGTGGCTTCTCTTTGCTCGGGCTTGAGTAAAGTCGACTTGGTACGGCGACGCTTCGAAACGAACCCTGCTGCGACACCGCTTGCAGCACAGAGAAGCTGAGTTGGATGATTCGATATCAGTACTGCGTAGCGGGTGTGAGTAGACTCGGATGGGCTGACCTGGTCGGGTTGACAACATCATCTGCAATGGTAGGGATGACAAAGGCATCCAAGTGGTCTTCATAGAGCTTCCAGGCCTGATGGATGGAGTTGCCGCGGATAAAGTAGGGTCCCGGGGGAAGAAGCCCAAGAGTATGAGTCGGGTCGTTGGTGTAGGTGGTGAAGCTGCTTTGGGCAAGTTGGGCAGCAACATGACTGACATCCTCGTTGTTCTGGGGTTGCAGCACGAGTGTTGAGGTGAAGTCGTCGGAGATAACATCGTCCCGTTGGCGAAAGTCTTTTATCGCCTTTTCGGCATCTTGCGTACCGAATCCAGCATGGACAGACAGCAAAACGGCGGGGGTCCAAAACTCATCGCCTGTAACAGTCTCAACGAGGCGACCCTAGGCGACAAAATGGGTAGATGAGTTAGCCAAAGACTATATAGGGCCAGTTTCACGAGGTATACATACCACTTCTTGGGGATGAACATAGTACGAGCCTCTACTGAGAGCCCACATGGTCGAATGTGTTCGTTTCCACGGATGCAGATTTGTCAATTGGTTGTAAGCTGCCAGGCTGCTTGAAGGAGGAGGACAAAGGACAAAGGACAAAGCAACGAATTTTATAGCAGCAGGGGTGGATCCCATGTTTGCTATTGTGTGACAGTAATGAGGGGAAAATAGAGTATATGACTTTCCCTCATTCCAAGGAGATATCATGTTTACTTAGTCATTCTATTCTTTCGTCATTTCTGTATTTCTCCTACCTTGGAGTAGTTGACTGTACAGAGCAAGTATAGTAGGGAATAGTTTTCTTGTTTTCCAAGATGGAATAATGTATATAATGTATATAATGTATATAATATATTTAGATTTGAATTATTCTGCTATAATACCTACCATATATATTGCTATTACAATACTTCTATAACGTGACATCTGGACTCTTGTAGGCATTACATGACATCATAACGCCAAAGGCGGGTGACCCCCACTTGGTACCTACTACTAAAGTACCTAGGTACTAGGAGGTAGTTATACCTAGGCTAGCTCCAGCGGGGTTCCAGGGCTTGCTCTTATTCGTCTTTCAGCTTTCAGCGCTCTCAGCACTCACTGGAGCCCCGCTCCTCCCGCCTTGACGATTTTATTACTTGGCCGACGACTTCCTTGTTTGCAGTTGCAGTTGCAGTTGCAGTTGCAGTTGCACTGCCAGTGCCAACTCTTCTGCTCTTCAACATCTACATTTCAGAATCCGGGCTCGACTGGCGCGAGCTTCTTCTCCCCTCTTCCCTGGGGTGCCTCACTATTCTTCCATTCTCCCACCCTCTGAATCAACAGCGGAACAACGAGTCGACGACTACCTCTGTGACGGACTGGCCGACGCTCTGACGTACGACTTTGCCGTTGCCAAGACTCGTCCGCCCACCACCTACTTTGCGACATTAAAAACATAGAGCTCGACCAAGTTCTCATCCCGCTCACTCTCCAAAAGAAAGACTACACCAATGGAATTCTGACCACGGTACGGTCCACGGCTCTAAAACCCCAAAGGACGCTCTCCACGGGCGTACCCGCGCCTCGCCAGATCGACGGTGCCCACCCGTCAAGCATGCGTGCTACGAACCTTGCGCAATGAAGCTCCGCAGCTCGCGCCGTGTCGTAGGCCTCAGACCAGACGACTTTGACCATGAAATCACTCTTGTCGACAATGACGGCACAGTTTCTCCCCACAATGGCCACCACTATGCCCAGATAGACAGGACCACAACCACGTCCAACCTCCTGACGCCAAACCCCAGCACCCGAAGAAGCAGCCGCGCCCATGGTAGTGTCGATGCGTCGAATGCCTCTACTAGGCGCCCCAGTCCCAGCGGCAGTAGCCATGTCATACTCGAGCAACCAGACGAGCAAGAAAACCAGCCCCCTCTGCAGCTCTCGCCCTCTCAGCCTCAGCCTCAGCCTCAGCCCTCCATTGCAGTATCCGGTGCAACCCCGATGCCGGAACCCCTGCAGTACTCCATCACCAAGACGACAGTCGACAATCGAGAGTCTGAGATTGACATTCTTTACGAAAACGAGCGAGGCGGCTTTTTATGCTGCGCTGCTTTGTTTTCCTCGGAACTTCTAGGTTGCCTCGACCCGCCACCCTGGACAAACAAATTCCACAAGACTTCCCCGACAGACATCAACACCGCTGTTGTCCCGGACCCGACCTGGGAGTGGGCTTGGCCGGAATGGCGTGTGAACCATCAAGAAGGAGTCGACGAGTTTGGATGGGAATATTCATTTGCATTCTCAGGCGCATTTTCCTGGCATGATGCCAAGTGGTGGAATTCTTTTGTCAGACGGAGAGCCTGGATACGAAGAAGAGTAAAGAAGCGTTGTGACCACAAGGCCGATGAGCCTCATCTCCTCACCACCGACTACTTTTCTGTACGCCCAGCTTCCGACCGCACGAGAACCACTACGGGCAGCCTGGTTAGCCGCGTTCCCAGCCGCGCAAGTACGGCGCAAGCGTCTACTGTCGACTTTGCTCAAGAGGAGCCCGATATTCTTGACCTCCCGACGTTGATGCGCACCCTTCGCTTCTGTCTTATTGATCGCGAGAAGAGAGAAGCAGTAGAAAACTATCTGGAGCACGCCCAAGATCTCCCCGCCATGCAGAGAAGCATGCATGACATCATGGGGCACTTCGTCTTTCAAGAATCTCGCAGGCTCTTTCTATGCTATCTTGTCGCCAAATACAATGAAGCCGCCAAGGACGCCCAGGCAGAGCCCACGCCAGCCACGAAAAATCGAAAAGACGCGCTGAATGCAGCCCTCCGGCATGCGGACCAGGAAGTCCGTAAGCTAGCCTACTGGAGCGACGTCAAGCACATGGTAGCCTCGGGTGAAATGAGGCTCCAGTTGGAAGATGACCGCCATCAGTTCTATGAGACTTTTCAAGGCATCGATCAGAGTGGTCCTGCGCCACCTAACGGAGGGGACCTCCCAGGCAGATCATGACCTCGTTGCCATTGCACAACTGTACAACCGCATATACCCCCTGGCCTTGCTGGAATCCGTTTATTCTTCTCTTTCGTCTTCTCTCGTCATTTCCCACTGTCATGTCTATTCCTGGAGTCATTATTGCAGCCAAACGAATCGCGGTTACTTGAGAAGCATGCACAACAAACTGGCATCATTGTTGGACGCTAGCCAACTCATGTCGGCGCAGGTACACTATGAGCATTATCCTTGGAGCTTTGACTGTAGGAGCAGGGAGTCGCCTGTTTCATGAATCTATTATACGTAATTTATAGTCTTTTGGATATACATAATGCCCACATTGGATTACTTGATGCTTCATAGCGGCACCGATGTGCTCGAATGCCTGCATTGACTACTACGGGACTGCGCTGAATTGCACCACAAAATTTCAATTCTCAACTAAATACAAATAACTAGCACTATGACCAAAGATACAAATCCTTGGTTGTCGCCTCATATGAACCATAGTCCTGCGACATCACACACATTGCAGCTGCTCAGGCGCACTCGCCATAGCGCCACTATATCATGAAGGTCAGTATTGCTCTATAGGACAGAAGCGAGAGTATGTGGAATACTTACGTCTGGAAGTTTATTGCAGAGACCGCTGCAGCAGTTGCCGAACATGGAGCCGTCGGGCTGGCAAGGCATCTTGAAGTGGACGCAGTCACCACGAGCCGCGGCCTTGGCCAAGGGCTCAACCACAGCAGCATTGACGCTGGCCACTGCCATGGCGATGGCGAAGACGGAAGCGAAGAACTTCATGTTGGAATGGAGTGGTGGAGTTTTGGAAAGTGGTTGTTTTGGTTTCGGTAATGTTTGTTTGTTGCTTGTTGCTTGTTGCTTGTTGGTGAAGAAGTAAAGCTCCAAAACAGCAGGAACTTGGCTTCCTTTTATACCTGGGAATAACCGCCGACGGTTGCCTCTGGTACGTTAAGATAACCCTGCTTCCCACCGGACATTTGTCGCTGGCGTTTCGCTGTGCTGATGAGGACTGGGAAAAGGCATCTCAAAACGGACACTGGCCATGTAGTGACGCCCTCTTGGACGAAAAGCCGGAGTTATGTTCCGGGGTCGGAGCACAAAGCGCTACCTCATCACTCGTTGCTCTGCGACGAGGTCTGGTTTTGGTACTGTGGAAGAATAGACCGAGCGTTGTTCCCGTATTTGAGCTCGCCAGGATAATTTCTCAAATTCACTATTTCTTGCACCTTGACCATGTACGAATGCCTAAACAAGGCCTATTTTGCCCTCTGGGAACGTCATAAATACCGACGACTAATAAAGCCCTATATTTTAAAATACATCATCAATCGTGAACCCGTGTTTGAGGGCATACACCGTCATGCAACACTACACACGGTGCAGTTGCTTATTTCTGCCTGCACACGCCAACCCTCTGCATAACAGGGAAGCAAGGCGGTTAGTATTCGTCCTCGAGACAGCAGCGAGCCCGGGGTCAGAGACGTACGTTGCCCTGTGCGAGGCAGAAGCCGCTGCAACATATGCCCATGGAGCCGTTGGCCCTGCACCTTTTGCCGTTGGCGAGGCAGCGCGCTTCAATGTCAGCCTGGGGCTCAATAGCCACGGCGCCAACGCTGACCAAGGCCATGGCGAGGACGAGGGCAAGGGCGAGGACCTTCATGTTTGGAGGGAGAGAGCGGGTTTCTGAGAAGTGATGTGAGATTGACAAGGTTGGGCGGGCTTGTTTCAACGGCGAGATGTGTTGCACGAGGGCAAAGGTGCGGCATTCCTTTATACCTTTGTCAAAAGCCCGTGGCGGCCTCTGCTACGTCAAAGCTGCGTTGTTTTCTCGGCGCTTTTGCTCCTCGGCGGTTGTCTTTGATGGGGACTGCGTCGGCTCGGCCACTTCCAGGAGCACAAGGGTGATGTGCAGGATGTAGGCGGACGCAAATATACGTCTCAAAACGGAACTGGCCATTGCGGTGACCATCTCTTTGACAAAAACTGGAGCCGTGTTATAGTTGTGTAATAGTTGTATTATAATTGCGTCATAGTTGTGGTATATGCAGTTGTGTTATAGTTGTGTTCCATCAACAGTCGTACGCAACACAAGGCGTGCACTTCTCCTCCTTTCCGACACGAGACCTGGGAGTATTAGTACTGTGAAATAAATGACAAAGCTTACAATAAGTCTCTGTGCCGGAATACTCGGCATCAACGCAAAGGCACAACACTACAAGTCAAGCGCCAAGCAAGCTCCTTTGCAAGCGTCTGTAGTCGCGCGGGAACATTTCCTCCGTCACGACTCTTTCAGCCCTAGACACTAGCCGAACTGGACGAAGAACTATGGTAATGGACTCGATATATGTATCTTTAATTATGCGCATTTCAACATGGAAAAGGATCGAAAATGGGGAGTGTACATATTTGAGTGGCTGCAGGACGCTGCTTACACCCCGGAACCTCGCTCATGGAGGGGCCGGTCCGCCCCCAAGCGCTGCGATTGGTGTCAATGAACGAGGGGGTTGAATAACTAGGCTGGGCTAATCGTTGGTGGTTCATGCGGTACGAGGATGGAAGAGTAATTTATGCGCTGCCTCGAGCGACACGGCCCGGAATTTGTGGTCGGTGTAACGGAGGGCTGTCGGCGCAGAGCTCCGCGGAGCGTCCGAGGCACCTCAGCGGCAGACAAAAGATGGCAGCACAATACACAAAATAATGCAGCAAGATTGATGAATTTTATGCAAAAAGTACCTATTAGTCTATTATTTTACATTGTTATGCTGTGCGACGTCGTGGGGAAAGTGCAGCCTGCCAGCATAATCATGGCCGTTCTGTCATCGAGTACAAAGAACATATAGGCAGAGCGCCCCCAAACATGAATCTGGACTAAAAAAATCAAACCCCCAACTCCTAGTACCCGTCAAGTCGTGTAGAAAAAAAAAAGAGAAACAAACAAACCATGTATATTTTCTTTGAAAAAAAAAAAAAAACAGAGAGCCTCAGAACTCGCGACTCTCGCCAATCTCGCAGACGTCAAAGACGCCCTCCTCAGCGATGCCGCTACGCCCGAGCGCCCTCCTGAGCAGCCGGGGCGGCTCGAGCACGTCCTCCATGGTGAGGGCCCAGGTGCCCCAGTGGATGCCCATGGCGCGGCGGCAGCGGGTGTCCTTGAAGATCTCGACCGAGTCGAACGGGTTGGCGTGCATGGCGGAGAAGGCGGCGCGCGGGAAGTAGGCGCCGATGGGGATGAGGCCGAGGTCAAACGGGCCGCGCAGGGCGCCAATCTGCGCAAACTGCGGACACCGCGGCAGGTCGGCGTGCGCGGGGCCGTAGTCGTCGACGCCCGCCGGCAGGCCCCGCGGGATGCCCCGGTACCCCGTGTCCCCGCCGAACCAGACCGACTTGCCGCCCGAGGAGACGGCCCAGGAGCACCACAGCGTCGTGTCCTTGTCGAGCAGCGTGCGCGCCGACGTGTGCTGGCAGGGCAGGCAGGAGATGCGCGCGGTGATGGTGTCTTTGCCGCTGTTGCTGTCCGCGTCCCTGGAAGCGGCGGCGGCGGCGTCAGTGCCGGTGCTGCTGGCGCCGGTGCCGCCGCGGACGCGCTTCACGGTGAGCTCGGCGTCGTGCCACCAGTCGAGCTCGGTGACCTTGTGCAGGCCGCTGCTGCGGAACCACGACTCGAGGCCGAGCCCGACGAAGAACTGCGCCTCGGGCTGGTGCTTTTGGATCTCGAGCACGGACGCGTGCGACAGGTGGTCGTAGTGGCTGTGGCTGATGACGACGGCGTCGACGGCCGGCAGGTCCCCGAGGTCGCACGGTTTCGGCGTGTACCGGCGCGGCCCCAGGAAGCTAAACGGCGAGCAGCGGTCCTCGAAGACGGGGTCAAAGAGGACCCGCAGCCCGGACGGGTACTCGACGTAGTAGCAGGCGTGCCCGAGCCAGGTCGCGCGGAGCTTGGGCGACGCCCAGCGGTGCGCCAGGAACTGGGGCTTGACGACGTTGACGGTGGGCGGGGTGGTGTCGGGCGTGGAGAGCTTGCCTGTGATCATGGGCCTGGTTGATGATTTAGTTGGGGAGGGGGGAATGGAGCAAGAGGGGAAGAAAGTACCAGAGGAGCTCGTGGAACAGGCGCGAGGGCTCGTTGAGATTGTACCAGGACGGGTACGGGTTCTTGAAGCCCGTCAGCTTGCCGCTCTTGGTGGTGACGTGGTGCGGGTTGGCAATGGCTTCTTCGGGCATGCCCTTGACCTCGAAGATTTTGGAGACCGAGGTGGTCCACGTCTCGTCGGCCATGGCTGCGGTCGATGTTGGAAGACGGAAGGGTAGGGGGAGGTTTGTTGAGGATAGGCGGCGACCGGGGGCGAGGCAAAGCGAATGTCGAGGATGAGGGACGAGAATGGGCGGCGGGGTTGAGGACGGCGCGCAAGGTTTAAAAGATGGGAAAAGGAAGAAACGGGAATCGGACGCCGAAACGGGGCGGGCGCGCTAGTTAATGATGACGGCGCCGTTGACAGCTGAATTGGTAGACGGGGAGGTGATGGAAGCGGAGTTGTATATACTGGCGCATGCTGCTCTCGGAGTTCATTTCCACAATCATCTTGCTCGTTGTTCTCAACGGCCAAAGAGTCCGCATCTCATTCACCAATGCGGACCGGGGATCATGTTCACCTCTCTTTGTGGCTGCGACTCCAGCCGGCCGGCCCTAGGCTAACTCCGCCCCGAAGGCTCAAGCCTAGGTCCGGGGGCGGAAGCCGGGTGGGTGCCTTGTGCGTGGCCTCCTAGTTACGTGCTTGAGGCTGACGACACCATTGCCGCCTATTCACGTCAAGAGCAAGCTCGATTTTCTTTCTTCAAAAATCTCGTATCGGGCACCGAGGCACCGCGATGCTGTAGCCGGGCGGTAAGCACAAATGGACCCTGGAGCACCTGGTCGGTCCATCCTTGTATAGATCGAACACCTGACCGGCCGTATTGGCGGCGGGATCAAGCTCTTCTCTGCCCAAGATGTAGGTACTGCATACGCCTTGTATCATAGCTAACACAAGCACACACGACCAACTGAAGTGGTGTTGCATGGTCCCGTATATTTATCCTATTCAAGTCATAGTCACAAGTACAATCCCGCGCAACGTTTTCCAATATTTTTTTTCATATTCTCATCTCCACAAGATCCCATGCGCGAGAGCATCTATTTCACAAGACGCTCCCATCCTTGTATCCGTCTTCGCAACACGGCCAAGTCCCCGACTATTCCTAGCCATCCGGACTTGGTTCCAGTTGGAGCACCCCGCTTTTAAATAGCAAGACGCTCGACCTTGTCGCGCAGGGCCTTGATCTGGCCCGCGAGCTCGCTCGCCTCGTTGGAGTTGATCGAGGCGGCAATGACGGAGCGGCTGACACCGCAGGCGCGGCCGAGCAGCGACTTGCTGGGCACGTAGACGTACGGGGTGCCCTTGTCCTCGCACAGCAGCGGGATGTGCAGCAGGATCGCGAGCGGCTCCGTGTCGGCGGCCAGGATGGCAATCTCGCAGGTGCCGCGGTTCAGCGCCTTGGTCACCTCGTTGGCGCCCTTTTTCGACTGGCGAATGTGCGTCGCCGACTGCAGGAGGTCGAGAATCTCCTGGGTCAGCGCGGCGTCGGCCAGAGGCCAGGCTGTGAAAAACAATGTCTTGTTAGCATCTTCTTCATGCTTTTGCTGCTTCTTCTCTGTGGCGAGGAACAACATACCGACATTCTCCTCAGACATCTTGGAGAAGGAGTGGAAAAAAAAAGGTAGATTGGGAGGGGGTTCCTTGGTAAGAGGCTCGCCCGGAAAAGGTTCACTGCCGTTTGGGAGGAGAAGAGGGAAAAGCGAAAGCTGAAGACTTGGTGGTGGTGTGGTAACAAGATTTTAGAAATGCGGCCAAGAAAAAAATCAAAGCACCCATCACCAAACAGGTAGTGCCCCACCTGTGCAATCGGCATTGGTCAAACTTTTCTCCAAGAGTGCGACGGCCGTCAATTGGTAGATTCAGGTAGATAAGTGGGCCACAAATTTGGCTTCCTCTGGACTCATGTCCAGAGTCGGTCGATTTTATTGTCAGTCAAACAAAAATGGTATTCTCAAAAAAGATACATGCTAAGCCTCATCAGTCATGAATAGAATAATACGCCTGAAAATCCTTCGTTATCCGCTCACTCACGATGAAAATCCACCCGAAAAAAACACCACGAATCATGCTCGCTTCCCAACCAAAAATCCGACACAAGGAAAAGGCAGCAAGCAACCTTGTTACAGATCCATTGCCTGGGTATCATCCCTCACATCTTCCACGCCAAGCTCCTTTTCCAGCTCATCAGCCACGAACCCTTCATAATCATCCAGGTTCTTTTGTACATGAATCTTAAACTTGATCACGTCGTTCAGCATGCGGTCAATCTCGGTGTGCAGCTCCTCGCGCAGCGAGTTTGCCCTAAGAACCAACTGCTCATATCTGGAATGCAAATGTTAGCACTATGTTGTGACAGAGAGTTGTCGCTTGAGACTCACTCGATAGTCGTGTTAATCTCACGCTGCTCAAGAAGCTGGACAGACTCGGTGAGACCGGCCCGTATTCTGGAGAGCTCCCTCTCCATCTTCTCAATCTGCGCATCGGAAGCCATCTTCTGCGTCGTCGTCACCTCCCTCATCTTCTCGTACTCCTCTTCAGCAGCACGGACACGGTGATCGAGAGCGTCAACCTCGCTTCGCATGTCCTCAATGGCCTCCTTGATGCCGTCCAGAAGGTCGTGATCTTTGATCATGGTGTCCATGGCTGTGCTGCGACGTTCCGAAATTTCCTTGCGGAGCGCTAAAAACCCGTTGCGAACTTGACCGCGCAGGTCAACATTGATAATCTGGCTGGGCTGGTAGCCGCTTGTCGAATCTGCCAGCAGTCTGTCTGTGCCTCCAGACTTTGCATTCAACCCATAAATTTTACTTGACGTAAAGTCGGAGCTATCGTTGACTGTAAGGCGGAGTTCGTAGTCGGTTCCTTTGGCATTGGCTGCTGTCGGTGGGAGCAGTGCGATTTGATATGCAAGCGAATTATACTTTTCTACCTGGTCTTCCAGGTCGTCCAGCTTCTTGCTTACTTCGCTTTCCTTGTCGGCCACCTTTTTCTTGATCTCATCTAGTCGTTGGCTGGCAGATTCAATTCCTTTCTGTAAACGCTCCTTCTCAGACGTCATGCGGTCAATATCCTGCATGCTGATACCCAGGGCATCCACAGACTTTTGCAGACCTCTTCGCTCCTCATCTGCTTCTTTAAGCTCATCATTCAACTTTTCCAGCTCTTCCTGTAAAATTTGGATTCTGTTTTCGTATTTTTGCGAACGTTGGACGGCAAGATGGTTATAGTCCTCAAACTTGGCTTTGTCCTCTTCCATGATTTTGAAGTGATCATCCAGAATGGCAGGATCAGGTGTGGACTTTTCCAAGTCTGAAATCTCCTTTATAAGCCGTGCATTCTCAGCTTCGAGCATCTCCAGCTCCGAGGTATATCTGCCGTTTGAGCGATCAAAGGCTTGGGCCATGGATGCTACATGCGGCGCAAGTACCTTTTCGGCATCATCGTCGCCAATATCCTCATCCATCGCTAACCAGTCTCTGTAGGCGCTGCTAAGAAAGTCGAAAATGATGTGGTCGCCGCTGACGTCGACGCCAGCTTCCATACATGCATCGTCGTATTGTCGTCCCACGTATCCGTCAAGCATCTGCGCAAGCTGCATCATCCAGTATAGGAGGCCTAGGAACGTCGACCAATTTTGCCCACCAACGGCAGCAATTTGACTCTTGGTGATGCTCCTCTCAAAGGGATAGCGTAGCTGCTTCAGAATTGGAGGTACTTCCTGGTCGATGTTCTTCTGAAATCGGTGGCTTGGATCGATACGGTGGTAGAGCCACTGGAACATGTAGTTGAAGTCTTTTTGAGTGGGTGATTTCATAGCGTTGGGTGACAGAACATGCTTCATTTCGAGCTCAAAGTTATTTTGCGTCATGTACTCCATCAGTTCTTGCCCGATTCGCGCTTGGAACGACCTGTCTTTGAGCGGTCGGGGATCTCTCGGTACGCCAGCGGGTTGATGCGTCGTTTGAAAGAAGCTTTGATGGTGGTTCACCGGGCCGTTCATAGATGAGCGCGATCGAAATACGCTGCTTCGTCGTTCGGTCTCTGTCGAGGTACGCGTCGCGGCCGGCGTTCCCATGGCAGCAGCGTACGGAGCCTTTGGTGCAAGTGACTGCCTCTTCACAGAGGAAAGCCCAAGATCTGCGAGATTGGAACCGGACGAGGTTCGCGAAAAGAGCGGTTGATTGGGCCGCGACGGGGCCAGCGACTGTCTAGATCCTGACTGCGCCCGTACATGACTGTTAGCGTTGCGCTTCATAGTCGATCCGGGTGGCGGTATTCCTGTATTCGGGTTTAGCCCTCCGAGGGTCTGCAGCATCGCTCGTTAGTCTGGTTGAGCTCGTCGCAAGATGCATGAATCCTAATGTACCTCGCGCGGCCTGCGAACGCTCCACAAGCCGGTGTCCTGAGACATGATATAATGCGTTGCACAGTGGCAGCAATGGGTTCTCGGCCAGTATGCGGAAGCGTTCTAAGCTTCCGACTGCGAGAGAATAAGCTGTAATGTGATTTGTCGCAAGTGAGAAAAGTCGATCTTCAACGGGCTGCGAAGGCTGTTGCTAGGCGAGAAAGTAAACAAAAATCCCGTCGCGCATTGCGATTGGTGAGCGTTATGATGGGCCAGAGTGCGCGCCACCAAAACACGTGATGCAGTGTGGCTAGTCAGTACATCAGCCACATTCCATCCGCAGAGCTACCTCGGCACAGTCCATCGGTCTTTGGCCGGGGCTCCACATTTACCGCACCCAGCAGATAGCAGATGTTCCCTCGTCATGTTTCTTCCCCAGCTTTCGCACCTCCCCATCACCTCCCCAGCTTCCATCCGCCAGCTCGACTTTCAAGACGAAAATTTGAGAGCGCCGAGCAGCCATGGCTATTCGGGAAGATCTCGTGGCCTCTGCTGTAAGTTGTCATCTCTTGCGTCATCGCTGAAGCGACTTGGGTTTGCTGACTGAAGCTCTTGCAGGTCCAATGTACGTGGGCTGGATCCCCAGCCTCTCCACGCGCCTGCCCTTGCTGACCCTGTTGCAGTTCTGCAGGATCCCAATGTCGCCTCCTCTTCGGTTGAAAATAGAGTCGGCTTTCTACGATCAAAAAACTTGACGGCAGAGGAAATTGACCATGCCCTCGCTCGCACCGGCGCAGGCCCGTCGCCTGGGGTTCCAGGACCATACCCGCCACAGGGCTCTCCCCAACCATACTACTCGCCATACCAGCAGCAGGCATGGCAACCACAACCCCCGCCTCGACGCGACTGGAGGGATTGGTTCATCATGGCCACACTTGTGGGCAGTGTGAGCTACGGTGTTTACACTCTTGGCAAAGTAAGCTCGGGCGCCTGCTTCCGGGCATCTCTTTCAGCAGCTGACACTCTGCGTAGCGCTATGTATATCCCCTGATAGCCCCTCCCACTCCGGAGAAGCTGGAACAGGATAAAAAGTCCATTGAGGATCAGTTTGAGCGAGCGTTCGTACTGGTGGAGCAACTCGCCAAGGATACCGAGGAACTCAAGCAGACTGAGAAGCTACGAACAGAGAAGCTCGATGCTGCTCTGGCAGAGCTTGAGACGGTCATGTCAGACCTCAAGACGGCGAACCGACGACGAGACGATGATGCCCAGCGTATCCGCGAAGACATCCAAGGCCTCAAGGACGCGATTCCCAAGGCCATGGAAAGCCAAAAGACTCAGGCCGACAACCGTCTGTACGAGATCAACACTGAGCTGACGAGCCTCAAGACTCTCGTTTCTCAACGCATGACCGCTGGGAGCAGCTCAGCCAGCGGCTACTCGCGACCGGGCGCATCGTCAACTCCCGCCGCGGCCGTTCCTGTCCCCGCCGTCGCCGCCACGCCCAAGCCTGCGACAGTGTCTGACCCCGCCGCTACCAGCACCGAGTCCGGCAGCACCGAAAAGGCTGCCGAACCCGTCAAAGCCGCCGAGTCTTCGAGAACCCCGTCACAGACCCCATTCAACAAGGGCTCCGGCAAGGCATCCATCCCTGCCTGGCAGATGGCCATGGCTAACAAGAATGTCGCTGGATCCTCCACAGCCGCGAGCGGAAGCAACACTGGCGAGGGTGCTTCCAGCAGCTCATAACGGCAGAATATGGTTGGAGGCTTGTACAATACGATAATACCGGGATAACTTGGAGCATTGTAACTCGGGCAGTCGGTGCGTGTTCAACTTTTTGTTTCAATACATAATAGGACCAGGAAATGTGAATTCTTCTGGGGAAAATGTGTCTATTAGTTTACTATGGTTCGGAACTTTCTCATCTTATTGAAGGGGACTCGTCTAGCGCACGAAATAAGGCACTGATTGAAACCGCGTCTGACGAGGAAATCAAATTTGAGCTGTATCAAAAGGGGTTCAACCTTCATTTGGAATACACGCTCTCCCTGGGGCTCGCCAGAGTTGTGATGCTTGCGCCTTGAGCCGAGGCACTTGTCCTGACTAGCGCTTGTACATCCAATTCGCCCGACAAACCCGGTGCGGAGATGATAGCCGCATCCGTGATCTGTGAACCGGCAATGTGCCCCATGTTTCTCCTTTTCTCAACACCACGTTGAGTTGGTCCAGTTGGCGATCCCTACACCCAGTTTTTAATTTAAAACTTTTTTTTCGCTTGAAATTTGAGCCTAGCACATACAGCCGGATTTCGAGTCTCGGTGAACGACCAACCCGGCTCACGCCTTCATCAATCGGCATCGCGTTCCTGGCAAAACCGCATTGGTGTCAAAAAAATGGTCTTGCAGGCGGACACGGACCCCAAGGTCACGCAGGCCCTCATTCAGTCGGCCAAGTCGAAATACGCATGGAACGCCGTGCGACGCATCCCGCTGGCGGCGTGGGTGGCGACGCAGCACGCGCTGGGCTGGTCCGAGCAGTCGCAGTACGTCGACCTCTGGACGCGCCTCGTCGTCGGCGTCGGGCAGTCCTTCTTCTCGGGCCAGGACGGCCCGACGTCCATTGCCGAGCTGCAGGCCATGACGCTGCGGCCGCGGAGCGTGCCCGGCCAGACGTGGATCAGCAAGTACACGTCGCCGCCGCCGCCCGAGACGGGCGCCGTGGACGCCGTCATGGGCGCCGTCAATAGCATGGTGCGGCTGGATCCGGACGTGGCGCGCCTGACGAGGACGCCCGGCTACGTCCCCGTCGAGGCGGAATGGACCGCGTACAGGCCGGAGGCGGGCCCTTTGCCCGAGGTGTCGGAACAGGAAAGGTATGTAGCGATGATGAAGGATGTCACGGAGCCGACGACGATCGTGTATCTTCATGGGGGCGGGTACTTGATGCTGGATCCCAAGTCGCACCGGCCGTTTCTGAAGCAGTTGTGCAAGCGTACCGGCGGTCGCGGCTATTCTGTGCGCTATCGCCTCTCGCCCCAAGGAGTCTTTCCAGCCGCCCTGTTGGATGCGTTTGTCTCGTATCTGACTTTGCTGTATCCACCGCCCGGTGCATTCCACGACCCCGTTAGACCAGAGCACATTGTCATTGCTGGGGACAGGTAAGCGTCTTTCCGGTCCCTCGGCTACATCGCGATACTAACAATGGGCCGCCCGACAGCGCCGGGGGAAACTTGACTCTGTCACTGTTGCAGCTTCTTCTAGAACTGAGACGGCAAAATGTCCGCGTGGCGTGGTACGGCGAGGAGCGCGCCGTTCCGCTCCCCGCCGGCGCCGCCTGCAACTCGCCGTGGCTCGACGTCACGCACAGCCTCATCCCGTACGGCGGCGACCGGCCGCGCAAGTACGACGTGACGTCGCTGCCCGTGCCGGAGACGGGCTGGATGCCGCGCACGCGTGCGGACCACCTCTGGCCGGCCAGCCCGCCGCGGCTCAACTTTTACGCCGACGACCACCTCGTCGCGCACCCGCTCGTGTCCGTCATCGGCACGCGCGCCGAGGACTGGGCCGGCGCGCCGCCCGTGTACATCTGCACCGGCTGGGAGCACCTGGGCACCGAGGCGCGCGTGTTTGCGCGCCGGCTGGCCACCGGGACGGACGTGCCCGTCGTGCTGGACGACTACGAGGCCATGCCGCACTGCTTCGCGCTCATCCTCCAGACGACGCCAACGGCGGAGCACTGCTGGCGCGGGTGGTCGGCGTTTATCAGGCGCTGCGTCGACGAGCCGGGGCGCATCAGGAGCAAGGCCACCAGGGTCAAGCCAAAGACGCTGGTGGAAGAGGAAGTGGATTTTGAGGAGCTGCTGGAGATGAGCGACGATGAGGCGCGGGCCATTTTTGAATCACAAAGCTACCCTTTCAAAGTTGCACCTCGATTATAGATTATCGACGTATATGTCCAGGAGGCTGTTTAGAGCAAGGTGAACCTGCTACTCACATCTTCTATTATTAGTGATTTGTATTCCCGCTTCTTCTTGATTCCATTGATTCCATTGATTCCTTCGTTACTGTTGCCCCAGCCTCCTCTTCAACTTGCACGCGTGATTGCACACCTGTGCGGCCAGATTCTGTGGCCGTGAGAGGTATTTATCACACCAACTTGTTTCAGTCCTGCCATGGCACAAGCCACCCGGTCTGGCACGATTCCAGTGCCTCTGTTTGCTTCAGCTTCTCAGCCCGCTCACGGTCCCAGTATACCATCCCGAACCACGACCAAGATGCCAGCGCCTCCTTGGCTTTTTCATATTCTTGAAAATCTGGGCTGTCGGGGAAGTGCTTCTTGACCACATCAACCCCCCATCTACAAGTGTGCATCCCTTGCAGCGCATCTCTCCAGGCCCACGGCTGGCCGCATATGGCTTCCTCGCCAGAGTCATTGCCGTCGCTGCCCTTGTCAGAATGCGCGTCGTCATCTGGAAGAGGTGTTGTAGTACAATGACTTCCACGGAGAAAGAACCAACTACCGTAACCCGGATGTAAGGTTCCAGAAAAAAGCCATTCCTTTTGGCATAAAAAGTCAAGCACCGATTGATCCACTGAGAGATCACTCTTTACCCTTTGCACGTATGCGTCTAGGTTATGGCCGTATGCGTGCTTCCAATTTTCGTACGAGACACGGCGTTTCCTGCCTGCATGATAGGAGCGCAATGCGTAGAGAAGTCTCCCAAGGAAGGCGCTCATGTCCGAAATTTGATGCCATTCCCATACTTGAAAGAGCGAGGACGAGGCTCTGGCAAATTGGGGAGTGTCGCCACCGCATCCCCATCCGGCTCCAGAGATAAGTATGAGAATTTGCATGCGCAGAACGGCTTGAGCGATACGGGCGTATTCTCGGCGACTTAAGCGAGCTCTTTGAGGAAGAAGCGCCCCATTCTCTGTTGGGTCCATGTCATGTACGAAATAAAGACAGTGGACGTAGCCAAAGATGTCAACGCAGAATTGGACGAGCCGAGTCACCCGTACCAATGTAACGGCAGTTTCTGCATCTATCGTCTTCACCCACGGCGGGCCGGTCACTCGCAAACGGGCCTTGTAGTCTTGGACTACCTCGTCGACATGACGATCGAGGTGATCGTCGCAGTACAGCGAGGTTTTTGCCAGAAGAGCGGCGTCTCGAGTTGCGGGACCGAGAATGTTCCCCGAGACGTACAGGAGCACCATCTTTTTAGTGGAAAGAAACGTGTCGAAGAACGTAGGCGAGGCACGAATGAGTGCGGCGAGATCATCGAACGAGTGGCATGCTGCCAAGATGGCAATGCGAACGTCGTAATTAAGAGACTCTAGCGGAGAAAGATGAACGTATCTGTCCATGGCGGGATTATCAAAGATGCGAAGAGTAAAATCACGCAAGGATCCCAAGAGTGATGGAACAAGGAAGTTGTGGCTGATGACAAGGAAACAAAGGAAAAGGAACTTTAAAGTATTACAGGGTTGGGGTCACTGGAAGCAAACAGCGCTTCACTGCAGCGCGGGCTGTTGCAGGTGCAGTAACCCGTCGACTCTCGAGGACATTGCCCATAGATGACTATGCTTGCGAGAAATACATGATGCATTTTGCGATTCGAAACGAGTTGTTGCAACAGGTAACGTTAGTTGGACATTTTCTCTCTACTGCGAGTGCAGGGGACAAAAGAAGGGAAATGGGAGATGATTCTTGATGATTGTTCTGGGTACTCAGGTACTCAGAGCCTAATAGGGCCTAGTTAGGGTTAGTCCAGTCCAGTCCCGGCCGTGACCAATCAGAGATCTCGCCTGCTGGGCTGCTTGTAGTGCTACATCTCTCGAGAGCCCACAGAACCTCTGCAATACATCATCATCATCCCAGCACAATGGCATAACATTGTCACCCTTGTCACACCTCGGGACAGCTTCATCTACGGGCCATGGTCGGTATTTAGTTGACTCCGCCGATTCTGTTGCTGCAGCTGCCAGCATAATCGATGGACACGAGGCACCCGTTGCCAAAATGTTTGGAGCCGCACCTGCGGCAATCTCCAGCCTTGCGAATGTCCTGGTACGCGTCCCATATCTTGTCACCGCTTATCTTGCAGTCCTTGCCGTTGCCATCCTTGCCGCGGATCTGAACACTGCAGCCGTAGCCGAACCGGCTTGCCCAGCAATTTCCACGCCCGGCAATCGTTCCAGAGCTGGCCATGTATATCTTGTTCCCGCGTTCCATGTTGTTCACGGCCAAGTCGCAAAACTTGACATTGAGCGTCGAGCATAAGGCGTCTCCCTTGCAGTCATAGTAGGGGGTAGGATCTGATGTTGGTTCTGCCCTGCCGGTTGACCAAGTAGTGGCGGAGGAAGTAGTGGCGGAGGAAGTGCTGGTAGTGGAAATGCTGGTGGAGGAAGTGCTGGTGGAGGAAGTGCTGGTCGGCTTGAAGGTCAGGGTATCGCCATCGTCTCCGCCGGACGGGCTGCCTGGTCTTCTAACTAGTGGACATGAGTCGTCACCTTGACGTTTCCGAGTAGATCCCGAAGTACCAGCGCAGTCTGCTCCACGAGGCTTCAAATCGGCAATTTTGGACCTGGCCTTCAGCTCAGGCGGGCAACCTTCAAGAGTGGGCTGAACCAAGCAATTCCCTCCTCCTTTCACGCTACCCGTCCAGATAAAGGGCACTCTCATCTTGTTGGGATTCTCCTCGGGTAAATCGGGGATTCGAAGTCGGCGGTACTCCAGCGACCGATGCATGTACATGACGAGCTTTTTCACATTGACTGGCCTTTCGAGCTCGCTACCCCAGGAGCCAGCCAGGTTCAGGCTTCGCCAGTATGCAATCAGGGCAGTGATGTGAGGAGCGGCTATACAAAAAGAATTGTCAGTTAACTCTCGATCATACGTACTTTCACGCTTATTCACAGGCCTGTTAGCCTATATCTATCAGAGCAGTTCGGACTGACCTAGAGACGCGCCATCAGCGAGAGATAGCGTTTTCGACTCTTCGTTGGCAACATGAACTCCGAATCCAGGTGCCATGGCAATCCAGTTCATGTACGGGTTCAGGGGAGACACCACCGAGTTGATGTCGATGCCACTCACGACAATCAAGTTTTCTAGCTTTTCGTGGGGCGGCGCATTGGGATCCGCGAATCGACTCGGCCAGCCGTTTATCTTTTGGCGGTATATAGGGCCCTGATTATTTTTATTGTGTGTCGCCGCGACCATGGCCACGCCAAACTTGTCAAAGACTTGTAGCAACTTGTCTAGCAGCTAGTTAGCAATTTGCAACGACAAAGGGAAACGACAAGGCCAAGTTATTCCTTACAAAGAATAGCAAAGTGCTGCTTTTTCATGTACTCTTCAACTTGCCGCTCCTCCCAGCCAAAACTCATATTGATCACCACCTTGGCCAGCTGGGCCGGACTCAGTGATACAATCTCATCAAGAATGGCGACCAGACTTGCCAAGTACCGATCATGGATGTGCATGTTCGGATCTCTGGGCGAGCTATTGGAGTTGCGCACTACGACGAGCTCTGCATTCCTCGCCAGACCCAACGTCTTGCCCACAATGATGCTGCCAACCTGCGTGCCGTGTCGAAGTAACCGGTCACCTGTGTGCTTTGGAGGGAAGTTTTGAGCGTCTATGTACCGTATTTTGGCACTTGAGAGTTCCTATAGTCATGTTTAGCGATGCGTCTCGACTTCGAGTGGCAGACTTCGGCGTACGAAAGCACGTTGGTCGACGTCGTCCTCAACCAGATAGATGGTCTGTCCTCGACCTAGTGGACCACCCGCATCATAGTCAAACCTCTGCGGATTGTTCTTGTTATCCCATGCGTCGGACCATTTTCCCCCAGGGGGGGTTGAGATTTGTGAGAGCTCCCAAGGACCACGATCCGGCGGTCTTATATCCTCGTTAGATCCGGAGCCGGTGAAGCCAGCAGCATTGTTGGTGTCCACAATAGCATAAAAGTCACCGACCCCTAGAGACGTTAGTGACTTCATGTGCTGTGCTTCCATGTTGGTCAGTTCATCGATGTAGAAAAACGCTGTGAATGCGCCTCCATGGACTTGCGTGGCCTTCTCCCAGAGCTTGACTGAGTTGTCCAACTGTGATGGGGTGTTTTTAAGGTAGTCAACAAGATATCGGACATTGTCAGGATCTGTTGGGTAGATGATATAGTCATCCACCACAACAGCAGGACACTCGTATCTGCTACCGAGGTGGAGGTTTGACTCTGGTAGCACGGAGAAGGGTACTTGTGCCGTAGCAGTTGCCGCTGGTATCGCTCGACGACCTAAGGTAGTTGTTGAGCCGCCGGTACATTGCTTTGTAGTGGTGCTGTCATCATCCTCCACATGACAGCCGTGAATTGTTTGGCACGAAGAGACGGTCGAAGTGGTGGTGAGAGGTTGCTGGTTGGCCGTGGTCGTGATGATGATGGATTCAGTCGTTGAGCAAATCTCTGCGGACTTGGTCTTGCATTCTGTGGGCTCATTCGTGGGATATGTGATCTTGCCATCCCTTCCCAGCGTGACCGGTGGCCAAGGACCGGGTAATTTGCCGCCAGGGATGGTAATTCCTGGAGGAAGCTTGATGTTGGGCGGTGGACCAGGAGGCAGCACAATACCGCCGGGAAACTTCCAGTGTATACCGCGGATCTTGACTCGACCCTAAATGACACACATCTATCCAGCTGTTAGATTGCGACGGTACTGTAGCGTGATGGGCTAACTTACATTGAGAAACCATAGATTACAGGCAGTGTGTCCGTCTTCTGACGACCTGTCATCCTCTTCGAATTCAATTTCTCCAGGAGGCCAGTCCGTGTAAGTTGGCAGCGCTTCGCCCGTCCCTGTAAATGCGGTACACCCCAGCGAAACCGTCTTGTCAGTGGGCGCTGCTATGGCTACCGTGGTGGTTGCGGCACAGCCCCATTCGAGATTGGTTGGACCATGACAGTCAGACAGAGTGATGGTGGCATCAAACTCAGCGACGTAGTGCTCGGTCGGGGGGCACTTGGCGTGGAATGGTTGGCGCGTGCTCGTATATGGCGGATCAGGGAGAATCGAGGTCGGTTCGGCGCTGCCACTCGTTGTGGTGGCCCATGTTGTTGTATTGGTCCATTGATGCGGGGGACCTTTGCTAATGTCTGGCCGAGGACGGAAGCCGGTGTTTTTTGCAGTCGTCGTCCCCTCGCCACTGGTCACACTCGCACTCACACTCGGCTCAGGCAGCGGCACACTTGGTCTCGTTGTGACCAGTATAACCGATTCAGCTCCGCCACCTGTTGCTTTCCGGTGCGGAGGGGACTCAGTCTCAGTCACATTACCTGAGCGAAGTCTCGTCGTGAGGTTATCCGCTCCCCCGTCCACCACCCACAGAGTAAGAACGAGAAGACCAGAAAACAATACCATCTTGGAGTGAGAATTTGTATAACAGTTTGATAATATTGTTGTTTTGCACCGAGTACTTTATTGACCACACGTTCTATACCGGGGAGTCAATGGGCACTTATATACGAACAACTTCTACCATCGAGACCGTTCTGCCCTCCACTCCTTCTCCAATGTTTGCTAGTCAAACACTTTTGGAAGCGGCTTATGACAGAGTGAGATAGAGTCTGGAATCACTCCTTACTTTGATGTTGGAGCGGGCTGTCGGCTGAGCACCTAGCCCCCAACATAATTTCCGATATTGTCAGAGCCTCGCGAGGAATTTGGACCTTGCCGGTACCATTGCAGGAGACCGCTCCGTGTCATGAAGTCCGTGTCATGAATGAATTTGTTCCACTTTCTCCCGTTGACCCCTGTTACCCTGTTCTAGAATTCTCATCTCTCCGAACGAGGCAAACACATTTTACGAAGTCGCTGTCGGCGACCTGCGGAGGCTTGCTTGTGTTACACTGCGCCTACCTTCAGCTACGGATAGTTACAGCCTCGGGCAGGATTTGGAAAAGGCTGCCTTTCCTCGAACACGAGTTTCGCGTCTAGATTGCAGGGACACTACAAAGGTGCGGGAAGCTACCTGTTGGCTGATTCATGATGCAAATGCAATTGCCCACCACCACGGTGACAGAACAGACCACCGGTTAGTAACTATACGGATTCTTGCTATTTTCTTGATTATTTCAATTCTTTTGTATTTTGAATTCCACTTGTTTTTTGACTCACTGAATTTATGTACCCTCTCCCCCTTTCACCCTTTTCAAAGCTGGTGTTTTTGTCACTCGCATGAGAGGGTTTCTTTCGGCGAAACGGAGACTGGAATGGGAATTTCTTTAGCAGTTCAAGTAGCAGAGAATAAACAGGAAATAGGTCTGAATAACCCTGCTTCATCTGGAGTGCCTGTAAAGAGACCATCTCGCCTCATATCCGGCATGTCCCCCGTAGTGGAGCTCCACCAAGCACCACCAAACTTGGTCGCAGAAAAAAACACGGACAAGCTTCATCATCTCGCATCCCGCCCGCCACGACAGCCCCGATCGACGCCATGGAGCGCCACAAACAGGCCGTGACCAAGATCGCGGCCGCCGTCCGCGGCTTCTTCGACAAGCGCGAGTCGTACCGCATCTTCCACGGCTCGACAAACAGCACGCGGCCGCGGCCGGGCCAGGCCGGCATCGTCGACATCAGCGCCCTGCGGCACGTCTTGTCGGTCGACCGCGCCGCGCGCACCGCCCTCGTCGAGCCCAATGTGCCCATGGACCGCCTCGTCGAGGCCACGCTGCCGCACGGGCTCGTGCCCCCCGTCGTCATGGAGTTTCCCGGCATCACCGCTGGCGGCGGCTACGCCGGCACCGCCGGCGAGAGCTCCTCGTTCCGCCACGGCTTCTTTGACGAGACCATCAACTATGTCGAGATGGTGCTCGGCAACGGTGAGGTCGTGCGCGCCTCCCGTGAGGAGCGTGCCGACCTGTTCCGCGGCGCTGCCGGCGCCGTCGGCACCCTCGGCGTCACCACCCTCATGGAGCTCCGCCTCGTCGAGGCACGCAAGTACGTCCAGACGACGTACCACCGCACGAGCTCCGTCGCAGAGGCCGTCGCCCGCGTCCGCGCCGAGACGGAGAACCCGGCCAACGACTACGTCGACGGCATCCTCTTCTCCAAGGACCACGGCGTCGTCGTCACTGGCCGCATGACCGACGAGATTCCCGCCGACCGCACCCCACAAACCTTTAGCCGCGCCCTCGACCCGTGGTTCTACCTGCACGCCCGCGATTCCACGAAAGCCCTGCCCTCGGCCGCGACGGCCGCCGACGGTGCCGCCCAGACGTCCTGCACCGATTACGTGCCGCTCGCCGAGTACCTCTTCCGCTACGACCGCGCCGGCTTCTGGGTCGGCGCCCAGGGCTGGAACTACTTCAAGCTGGTGCCCTTCAACAAGTGGACGCGCTGGTTCCTCGACGATTTTATCCACACCCGCATGATGTACCGCGCGCTGCACGCCAGCGGCGAGTCGGCGCGCTTCGTTGTCCAGGACTTGTCCCTGCCGTACCCCAACGCCGAGGCCTTTGTCGACTACACGGCCGACACGTTCAACATCTGGCCGCTGTGGCTGTGCCCGCTCAAGCCCACGCAGCAGCCGACGTTTCATCCGCACACTGGCCTCACCGAGGTCTCTGGGCCGCCCCCGACGGGTACCGAGCAGCAGCAGCAGCAGCAGCAGCAGGCGCCCATGCTCAACATTGGCCTCTGGGGCTGGGGCCCTGCCGACTTTGAGGAGTTTGTCGACAAGAACCGCGACCTCGAGGCCAAGTTGCAGGCGCTCGGCGGCCGCAAGTGGCTGTACGCGCACACGTACTACGCCGAGGAGGACTTTTGGACGGTCTACGACAAGCCGTGGTACACGGCGCTGCGGGAAAAGTACAGCGCCACCACGCTGCCCACCGTCTACGACAAGGTCAAGATTGACGTCGAGGCCAACCGCCGCAAGAGACAGGAGACGAGGCAGTCGCTCAAGGGCAAGTGGCCTGTCGGTGGTCTGTACGGCATCTGGAAGGCCATTCAGAGTGGCGACTACCACCTGCACAGACGAGCCGAGTGGAAGTACAAGGAGAACAAGTAAGAAGAGGCAAGCCCCAGGGTTGTCGAACCAGATTATAGAAAACCCGTGTAATTCGTGTAATATTATAGTGTAGAGCGCATCGCCTGGCTTTTTGTGCCGCCGATGACCACCCTCAATAGAGCTGCAAGACCAAGATGAAGAAGAGCCTCGCCCAAGACGGTCGATGATGCAGGGCGGGGAAGCTCAGCCCCGTCGCACATCGATCGCGGAGTGTCGCCAAGATCGGCGGGGGAGGGGGATAGCAAGTAAATGGATAGCAGCATGTATGCATGTACTAGTATCGCTCTATAAATCCAGCCCTCCTCTCTGCCTAGCTCAGACCTCCGGTCCCCTACTTTGTTCCCTTTTATACTCTTCCTTTCCCTCTCCAAAAATGCTCTTCCCTCAGTTTGTCGTGAGCGCCGCTTTACTCGCCTCGTCCGGGGCGGCGCAGACGACACCGGCCTCGTCCGGCGGCGGCTCTCGCGTCTGGCAGTGGCGCAACTACGGCGACGCCAAACCCGTCTCGCCCCTCCGGCAGGCCGTGACGATGCACGTGCCCCCCGACACCGACATCTGGCGACCGGCCGCGGACCGCGACAACTTCACCGCCCCGTTCCTCTTCACCACCGTGTCCGCGTCGGCGTTTGCCAGCGTGCAGGTCACCGTCACGGCGCCGTGGAGGACGCTCTACGACCAGGGCGGGCTCGTCCTCGCCTACCCGCCGTCGTCGGGCCGCGCCGCCGCCGCCGCAGGCGCGCGGTCCATCAAGGCCGGCGTCGAATTTACCGACGGCGCGCCCGCGCTCGGCGTCGTCGGCACCGACATCCTGTCCGACTGGAGCCTGAGCCCCATCGTGGACACGGCGCGCGCCAGCGTCACCGTCCGCATCGAGCGCCAGGGGACCGACGCGTGGGTGTACGTGCTGGAGAACCACGGCCGCACGAGGCGCCAGCTGCGGCAGGTCACTTGGGCGTTCAACAAAGATGACGGCCAGGGCCTGGCAAGCTGTATTTACGTGGGAATCTACGGCGCCAAGCCCACGCGTGAGAGCGCCCCGGCGGACCCCTTGACCAAGCTCCCAGTCACGTTTTCCGACTTTCAGTTAAACCTGAGGGAGGAATGAGTTGCGAAGCGAATTCGTTTCTTTGTTCCTAGCCAAATGCTGCTGTTGCGATCCTGTGCCGATTATCGTCTATCAGAGTCGTGAGTCTTCTCCTGTGCACATACAAGTGATGATTATTTAATCGACAACTGAAGTATCATCTATTATATACTATACATTCACTTGGCATAATACACCAAACTTGTAGTACAACCCTCCTACATGCCCGCAGCACTGGCCCATAAGTTGCCACTCCCATTGTCCCCTACCTGCGCAGAACTTTCTCGCAACAAGCTTTCGAAAAAAGCAAAATCAACACCCTGCAATGCCCAAGCATTATTATCCTCCGAAGACGACGGATTTGATGTCACAGGCAAGAAACCATCCTGAGAAGAGTGCACGGAGAGTGTCCCAATGTCAGCAGACACTCCGTGCATTGGCGCCGCCCTCCCACTAGAACCGCCATCATATGTCGGGCCTTGCGGCTGTGGAAAATCTCCTGCCGAGTCGCCGGTGCTGTTGCCCTCAAAGGTAATCTTGCCATCTCTGGAAATGTTCAACACTCCGAAGCAGGGGACGAAAAACCGGATTGGTTCAGCATCGTGTGGGCGGACGGTACCGGAGCTACTGCTGTCAGGCGTACCACTACCAAAGCCCGAGTCTAGACTAGCATCTATTTCCAGAAGCTGCCTTATCATCTTGGCCGCTGGTATCTTTGACTCGCCACCATCTACCGGCCCGTCTACTTCCAGCGCCTCTAATAGCTGCTCAATCATGCCGCGATCGGAGAGACGCTGGTGGGCCAAGTAGAACGGGCCCGTCCCCCTTGCATAGAGGTGACTGAGTAGTAGAGTAAGGGAAGACATCAACGCCAAGAAGTCAAGTAGTCGACAGTGAGACACGAAGCCGTCTTGGGCAATGTTGTGTAGGCAGCGCGTCAATATGTCCCGGCTGGCACTGATGCAGGTACTGCGGCTATACTCGTAGTGGCTCTGGTTGGCTTCCGATGGTGCCGAGCCAATGACCATGTACGGCAGATGTAGTTGGTGCAGAAGATAGAAGTGGTATATCTGGTTAAGCAGTCGCCGCGACTCCCAGAACCGCTGTGTGCTGGTGAGGGCGGGCTTCCAAGTAGGCTCGAGCCACCATCTGCTAGGCATATTATTGGCGGCTTTTTGTAAATCTGCATCGATGCGCTGCGTTAGATCATAGTCTTCTGGGGTTGGTTCGCGATCATTGCGCTCCAAGATCTGACCAGCCGCAAAGGCGTGCCGGCGTTCGAGCTGGCCCATGGGTGTATCCTGGGTGAGAGCTGCTTCAGACACCATGGACGAATCGGAGGAGGCAACTGGCAGGCCAAGCATCAGGCTGAGAACGCGATCAATGTGGACGAGACGGTGCCAGAGGAACCGAGGATCCAGGATGCAGCTGGATTGAATTGACTTGATACTTAGGGCTCGATAAGGACGGCGGTGCAGGCCGAGGGCTTGTGCGATGCTCACAATGCGTCTGTGGGCAAGCCAGGCGCGGCGCACATTGCCTTGATTGGCTTGGTATATGCTATCGAGTATCAGACACGTCATGCCGTCGCACGTGTCCAGAATCATGTTGTGAGTGGTGACCATGGCCGTGGCAGTGGTAGCTAGACGGGCCATAATAACCTGTGGGGGCTCATCAGAGAGTGCTTCGAGTTTGGCCAGCGTATCGCTCCCAGCTTGTTGCAGGACGTTGGCAAAAATGAGCATCTGCTCTGCGATGACGGCGGGATGTGACTCGGCCGTGTGCCGCGTGTGAAGTAAATGGTAATCTGGTCGGGCCTGATCCGGATGGTCAATCCAGACGTCAATGTCGCGATAGGAATGATACATGGTCAGGTACATATTGAGAAATAACCTGCCTGCATCAGCGAGTACTTTTATGAACGCTTCGCCGGGATAGGCGGCAAGCAGGGTTCTTGCAACGTCGCGAGCCTTGGTGCTTGTCGCAGCCGGTGTCGGTATCGGTGCTATGATCACCTGGGGGTGAATAGCATCGGGCGACGAAGCAGGTGTGCGGAACTTGTCTTCGTAAACAAAGAAACCAGGTATAGCAGCTTCATCAACACTCCCCTTGTGAGTCCAAGGTTAGCGTTTGCTGTCAAACCGTGCGACTAGGAGTACCTACCGGAGTGGGCTCCGACGCAGCAGAGACCGACGCAGCCACAGAATTGGGGCTGCGGGAATCAGTCACCAAGGGCTGCTTCGCCAGCGTGGCAATCATGGCTTCCATGCGTTGGAAGCGATCGCCGACCAGCCTACTGCTGCGCTCCGGCGTCGTCTGGTCGGGGAACTCCTGGCTGACGCACTCTTTGCAGCGCCGGGCACAGCTGGCGCACACGGCATCTTCCGGCGCCGTAAAAATGCAGCGGATCTTGCGGTGCTTGCATTCCCAGCAGCTGCGGGTGCCCTTTCGTGTCTTGCGCCGCTTTGCCTGGCGAGAGTCTCTGTCCGCCATGGTCGGAAGGCGGGCCAAAGAAACAGTTCGGAGTGCGGATCTCGGGCCAAAGGCGCTGCTTGTGGTTCAAATGGGCAGGCGTAAATCAGCGAGAAAATGGCATATTTGCGAGTTCAGGGAAGAGAGGCATGTCGCTTAGGTATGAAAGGTGCATGTTGCGTGCCTTGTCAACTATCAGCCATCAGAGCTGCAAACGCCGAACGGCGGAGTTTTGGTGGACTTGCGGAGAGACGAGTTACTGGCCCAGGATACTCTAATGCGGGTGAAGGAAGGGAACGGATATTGTCATATTTGTATCATTAACTGTTCCAGGATCCTTGAGGTTTTTAATCTGAGTAATAATATTTTAGGCATAATAACACGACGCTCGGCATCGTGTTGGTTGGATCGCCAAACTACAGCAGACAGGCACATTGCAGCGCAGACAACCTAGACTTGAGACCTCGAGGCGATCTCACGTAACCCACCTGCACTGAGCAATTCATCCGAGTCCTTCTCCGTAGCACAGTTTCTACTGGCGGTCAATGGTACGTTTGCTGCCTCGAACGTTATCCTCTGTTGTGCCGAGGTGGGATCCCTCAGTTCAGCCCTGTCCGCCGCCGCGTCACCCTGCACCATTTCGTATCGGACGAAGTAACTAGATCGGTGCAATTGTTGCCCGATTCTAGGCTTTGAAGAATCTAATAAGAAATTAAAAATCAAAACAAGCGTAGAAAGTGGAGCGGCCGGACGGGTCGTTGCCCTTCGCAGACAGTTACTCGTGACATTCGTCCGCCGTTCGGCTAAAATTACCACCTACACTTATACGCGCGACGACGTCGGCGAGGCGCAACATAGAAGCCGATCAAGAATACCTGTCCCCCTTTAAACTCCTTGTCCGATATTTCCGGGCGCATATGACCAATTTCCCTTGCGGACAAACTCCCACAACAAGTAGAGGCGCCAATACCCTGCGGTGCTTGTAATGTTTTCATGTGCCCGCGTATAAGACTTGATGCTGTCCCGGCAGTGATGTCTACCTGGTCGTTGAAACCATTCTTTCTAGCCAAGATAGTGGAAAGGCAAAAATACCGTTCGGTATATTCGATCTGTCTTAAAACGAATTGGCATTCGCCATGGCCACGAAAAACAACACCACAATGGCAGAGCCGGAGCAATTTGCCGGCGATGGAGGCGAGGCTCTACCTGAGCATCGTCAAGCAACCGCCGATTCTAAACACAGCCTCTCTGATGAAGAAAAAGGCATTTCGGAGCCAAAAGCGCAAAACAAGGACGACTATCCGCAGGGGCTGACGCTGTTCTTTCTAACCTTGGCCCTGGGCTTGGGCATGTTCATGATGGCCTTGGATAACGTACGTTAACACCCACCAACACAGCCTAGATCGATGCCGGGCTCAAGCTGACACAGGGCGATTCTAGACAATCGTTGCCACGGCTATTCCGAAAATCACCGACGAGTTCCATGGTCTCTCCGACGTCGCCTGGTACGGGTCCGCCTACTTCATGACCGGCGGCGGCTTCCAGCCGCTCTGGGGCAAGGCCTACAAGTACTTCCCGCTCAAGACCACGTACCTCGTCGCCTTCTTCATCTTTGAGCTGGGCAGCCTGATATGCGGCGTGGCGCCGACGTCGACGGCCTTGATCGTCGGCCGCGCCATTGCCGGCATCGGCGCCGCCGGCATCGGCTCCGGCAGCTACACGCTGCTCGCCTTTGCCGTCGAGCCCGCGCGGCGCCCGCTGTACACGGTCATCATCGGCGCCGCCTACGGCGCCGCCTCGGTCGTGGCGCCGCTGATTGGCGGCGTCTTCGCCGACCGCGTCACCTGGCGCTGGTGCTTCTACATCAACCTCCCCATCGGCGCCGTCTCGGCCGTCATCATCCTCGTCTTCTTCGCCAACCCCAAGCTCGCGCGGCCCACGCAGGCGACGTGGCGCGAAAAGGCCCTGCAGATGGACCCGGTCGGCGTCGTCTTCGTCATGGGCGCCGTCATCGCGTACGTGCTGGCCATGCAGGCCGGCGGCCAGACGGACGCGTGGAACTCGGCCAAGGTCGTCGGGCTCCTCGTCGGCTTCGTCCTCATCGTCGCCGCCTTTGTCGGCTGGGAAATCTACAATGGAAGCCGAGCCATGATTGAGTCGCGACTGATGCGCATGAACATTGTCTGGGTCAATGCCGCGTACTCGTTCCTCGTGGTCGCGTCCTTCTTCACCATTGTCTACTTTCTGCCCATCTATTTCCAGAGCATTGACAATGTCAGCCCCATCATGTCAGGTGTCAGAAATATCCCGTTCATATTGGCAGCCATTATCGGAAGCATCCTTGTCGGAGCGAGTATCGCCGCCAATGGCATTTCTACGCCGCTGATGGCTATCGGAGCAGTGCTGGGCACCGTTGCCTGTGGGCTGCTGTATACATTCGACATTGGCACTCCCACAGGCAACTGGATCGGGTACCAGATTCTTGCCGGAGTGGCGTACGGCGGTGCTTTCCAAATCCCCATCATCCATGCTCAAGGCACCGCCAAGCCAGAGGATCTATCTGCCATTACTGGCATCATCATGTGTAAGTCGCCAGGGTCATCGCTACATTGCCAGCCTCGGATGCAAACTAAATTCTTCTTCCATATTCAGTCTCTCAGACGCTTGGCGCCGCGATGGTCCTGTCTTCAGCACAGTCTGCCTTCGCTAACAGGCTAATCCAAGTAGTGACAGCCGCCGCACCGGATATTCAGCCCGGTGCTCTGTTGGCCACGGGAGCGACCCAGATCCGCGCTGCGTTTCCCCCAGAGCTACTTCATACAATCCTTCTCGGGTACATGTCGGGCATCAAAACAGCCTTTGCCATTCTGATTGGTGTCACCGGACTGGCGATCCTCGTCCTGCCCTTCGGGGACTGGAAGCGCCTCGATCCAAAGGCGCTGGAGAGTATTGGGGCCGCTGCTTGAAGAGCGATTCCCTAGGATGCAGAGACTCGGAAACTCTCGCCACACAGCCTTTCTTTGTAAGGTCTACGACCAGTTGATCGGGGGGGGCACGCTTACAAATCTAGAGTCGTGGCACAATGCGACGCAACAATGATGTGACTACTATCCGTCAATACTTACAATCCCTCCTTATCTCAGGTCCATCTCAACTTATTAATCATTATTTTTTAAATATTAAAATCACCCCTATCCCGCTCACAAGTGCAGGATACGTTTGCTTGCGCACTTGACACTTAGTGGTCAGTCAATTGTACTGTAAAAACGCTCATTGATTCTATGGCCTGTGGCCTTATCTGAAGATATTCCATCATCAGTTTATATCGCGTGGCGCGGTTCCTAGACACCAAACATATATACAAGGTGCAGCTTCGAGTTCAGAGTGTAGTCTGGCACTGCAAAATCGCCGCAATTAGTGTGTCCTTGTTCCCTCACACCAGCTTGTCTATTAGCAAAGTTGGACGAACCCTCGTTCTTTTCCCGCTCATGGCAAATTCGTATTGCGTCATTCTATGTCCCAACAATCATCTATGCATTTAGGCCTGGACAGCATATTCGCGCTTGAACATATCATCCACCTTGGTGAGGTAGTAAGCACCGGAGCTGATGGTCGAGGTCTCACCCTTGGGGGTATAGTCCTTCTGGAGATGGGCCTGCTTGCGGAGGTTGCACATATCGTCGTAGGTAGCGGGGGGGACGGCACGGCGGGCTTCGAGTCTGGCAGGGATGTCGAGAACCTTGGCAATGTTCTCGACGCTGCCGTTGACGCGGAAGGACATGAACGAGGCGGCGAGACCAGAGCCGTAGCTGAAGAGGCCGATGCGCTTACCCTCAAGGTCCTTGGCGGGGACAAGGGACAGCAGACTGGCGAGGCCACCCCATACACTAGCGCAGTACATGTTGCCACACATGGTAGCGACCTGGATAGCAGGGTTGACGCGCTCCTGGAAACGCTTCTTAGTAAGGGCCATGAAGGTTTTCTCGACGGCCTTGTCGGTCAGGGACTTTTCGTAGTCCATGTCGCGGAGTTCAGGGGCGACCTCAGCGAATGCGGGCAGGTCGGCGTTGGCGAGGAAGTCGTGGTACAGGAGACGAGCGTAGGACTTCTGGACCAGCTTGCAGGTGGGGGCGTGGAAGGTCAGGTAGTCAAAGCGGTCGAGCGAGGTCTTGCCTCCCTCGCTAGTGGCGGCGCCGTTGCCGTTTTGTTGCTTGGCCTCACGCTTGGAGTAGTCGCGGTAGGCCGCATCCAGGGCCTTGGTGTAGCAGTTGATGGAGTAGTGGCCATCGACGTAGGGGTACTCAGAGGTCAGGTCGGGCTTGTAAAAGTCGTAGGCGTGCTGCATGTAGGTGCCACGCAGACCGGGCTCGGCAACGACGGGAGCGTTGGGGCCGACAAGCATGGCAACGACACCAGCACCGCCAGTAGGGCGGGCAGCACCCTTGGCGTAGAGAGCAATGTCACCACAGACGACAATGGCGTCACGGCCGTCCCAGGCAGAGGACTCGACCCAGTTGATGGAGTTGAAGAAGGCGTTAGTGCCGCCGTAGCAGGCGTTGATGGTGTCAACACCCTCGATGCTGGTATTTTCGCCAAAAAGCTGCATGAGGACTGACTTGACCGACTTGGACTTGTCAAGGAGGGTCTCAGTGCCGACCTCGAGACGGCCCACCGAGTTGACATCAATGTTGTACTTGCGGAGGAGGTTCGAGGTGACGGTCAGAGCCATGGAGTAGATGTCTGAAGTGACAAGAAGGTCAGTTTGGCGTGGTTTGGGGCATGCACGCGGTGCACGAGGCGGTGTCGGGAGCTGGAGGGGTAGTCTGTACCTTCGCGGTCGTCGCAGAAAGCCATCTTGGTCTGGCCAAGACCAATGGTGTATTTGCCGGCGGCAACACCGTCAAACTTCTCGAGCTCACTTTGCTCAACATACTGCAGGGCACTGGAATTAGTTTTGGGCGAGGTTGAGCGAGATGGTGGCGGCCCAACCCAGAATCGTAGTCATGGAGGGGTCGGTTTGGAGGGGTAGGTCAAGCAAAGACATACCTGGCTGGGGAAGTAGATTTCGATGGCCTTGATGCCAATGTTCTGAGCACGAGCAGCCATGTTGAAAGGGTGTCAAGGAGTACAGCGGCAAGACAGGAAAAAAAGATAGAGGAGCAAGAGACAATTGAGGAGAGAGGTGTGGCAAAGGGGGGGATGTGGGAAGGTTATTATTGTCGAGTGCTAGTTAGTTGAGGTGGAGAGGAGGGTGCTTGGGTGGCATCGCAACAGGATTTTCACCGCCCTTTATTATTATTTATTTAGGTGTAGGTACCTGGTAGGAGGTAGCAATGAACTCTGTAGCGGCAAACGCTCCAACCAGCCTGGGGGCGATTCTGCCAGGGGCAGCGAGTTTTTTTGGTGGGGTTAGTTAGGTCGATGGGGGAAGACGAGCTTGAAGGGACAAGCCACCAGCAATGCCCAATCACCCACGGCTCCACCGATTATCTCCAGTCTCTCTCTTCCATTCGGGGCTCCCATCAGTAGTTACATCCATCGGCTACCCATGCCAATTGCATTCGTTTCTAATTCGACGAGTCCGGTCCGAGTGGCTTCTTTTTTTGCTAAAAAAAAATACTGCTGCAGTGAAGCCGTTTCATAGCGGCTGACAGACATGAAGCAATCTCCTCATCGAGGCAAACGCCACCATGACCACGGCCCCAGCTGCTCGCCTCCCAGAGCCGAACTAGCATGCACTCCCATCATCATCGACCATGTCTCATTTCCCGCCCGCACCAGCTGCCGTTGACGCGGTAATCGGGAGTCGGTACTGGGACCTCGCATCCACAGCCGAGCTCGAACCGTAATCGCTCGCAACCGCAAACCGCCCGGTTTCCCACAGCATCGGCAGAGCTCCCAGCAGACAAGACAAGACATTCATCAAAATGTCGCTAAATCAACTCTGTCATCAGCCTCAACAGGGGGCTGCATCAACATCTCCAGACTCTCGCCAATACATGAGATCGCGTGCACCTGCCCGTTCCCACGCGTATTCGTACCCTGTGCCGGCTAGCTTTTGCCGATAAGCTGGCGGGCTGCCTACAGAGATCGGTGGTTGCGCCAGAAAACTGGTTCCAGTTTCGCTGAGCTTTGTCTTGGATAGGCTTAGTCGCAGACCCTATTTGCGCAAAGAGGGTCTGGTCCGATGCATGAGCACTTGGCCAGCCTCGCCAACCCTGACTCTTGACTTGAGCCTCTTGTTACAAGCAGAGGCTCACAGCCAATTGTACCAGTCCTGCGGATAGTGATTTGGTCGACAAGTCTGCCCCCTGCATCCCGCAGCATTTGGAGTTGTGATGTCGCGTCGCAAGATATGGGCACATTGGTACGTACCCAGAATCTGCAAGTATGCCTAACAACATACAGAAACGAGTGCAATATCCGTGGCCACCCAATTCATTTTTTAAAAAGAAGGATTATACCCCCAGCGACCGTAATTGAAACACCTAGCCGCCGGTATCATCTATTGTCAAGTCTTCGCGCCAAACGACCAACCATTTGTCCGCAGAAACGGCACCCATGATAACACATGGCCTCATGATACGATACAACCACCAGATCGATGATCAGCAGATACACCATTGGTTAGTAATGCAATAAACAACTGCTAGTACATGTGTTATGCACGCTGAGCACGATGCATGCTTTCAATAGTTACGGACGCTCTACTCCCTCGCATGTTCCTTCGATATTGTATTTATGGCGACTCGTGATTTTCGTTCGCACTAGGCCCGTCTACTCATCGGATCCGGCTCGTGTTCGCGTCCGATCGGCTCCGGAAACCGGCGCAGCTACAAGCAAGCTTTAACAATAGAATTGCATGTTCGACAAATGCTCTCATCCCCAATTACTTCAGAGAAAATCGAGAATCGCGCGTGCAAATGAGATTTCAGGGACGCCAGCGCCATTGCTTCAGTAGGTAGGCTCCCTGGGCAGACAGCGTTTATGGCTCGGCACACGATCGGAGCTTGGGTCGGCGCCCTAACTCGCTACCCACCCTACACCGAGCGCTTTATCAGATCATCTCTTCTGCAACGTCATGACCTCTCCACTGGCTCTGTCAAATGCCTCACGGTGGATGTGTGAGATAATCATCCTCCCTTCCGCTTTTTGCGCGATTAAACTCTCGTCTTCGTTGCTAGGAGCAGGCAGCTGCCATAGCATAGCTGAGTTCTGATCATGCCCGCCCCGTCGCATTGTGATGTGCTTGTTGTCGGTAGTGGCAACGCCGGGTTCTCTGCAGCACTTTCAGCACGACAATCTGGAGCCAAGAACGTTGTTCTCATAGACAGATGCCCCGAAGAATGGGCAGGTGGAAACTCTTATTTTACGGCCGGTGCGTACCGCATTGCGCATGACGGGCTGAAAGATATTCTCCAGCTGGTGAGCAACGTGTCCGAGGAGCAAGCCGCCAAGGTTCAGCTTGCCCCATACACCCAAGATGATTTTCTCAGCGACATCCGTCGTGTTTGCGAGGACAAGTCCGACCCAGACCTCTCTCAGGCGCTTGTATCCGAGTCCAACGCGGCAGTCAAGTGGCTTGCTGCCAACGGCATTCGTTTCGCGCTGTCGTTTAATCGACAGGCGTACGAGGTTGATGGAAAGCTCACATTTTGGGGTGGTTTGTGTCTCAAGACTCTGGATGGCGGTAAAAGCCTGATTGAAGACTACAAGGTCGCAGCTTCCAAGCATGGAATAGAGGTATACTTTGCCACAGAACTCATCTCACTGCATCATGCGGCAGATGGTAGGCGTGTTATAGCCCGCGTCAGAAATGATGATACAGAGGCAAACGTGACAGCCAGCGCGGTGATACTGGCGGCCGGCGGATTTGAAGCCAACCCGGAGATGCGCAGACGCTTTCTCGGCGCGGGGTGGGATAAGGCTGCCGTGCGCGGCACTCCGTACAATACGGGCGAATGCCTCCAGCTCGCGCAGGAAGCGCTCGGTGCGCAGCCCGTCGGCGACTGGGCCGGCTGTCACTCCGTCGCCTGGGATGCCACGTATGCGGACCCGCGGCAAGGCGACCGCATGGCCTCCAACGAGTACACCAAATCTGGCTACCCCTTGGGCTTGATGCTCAACATCCACGGCCAGCGCTTCGTGGACGAAGGGGAGGACGTGCGCAACTACACCTACGCCAAGTTTGGCCGCGCCATCCTCGAGCAGCCCGAGCACGCGGCCTTTCAGATCTGGGACGCGCAGACGAGCGGATGGCTGCGCAAAGAGGAATACCGCCGGGAGCGCGCCGAGCGGCTCGAGGCCGCCACGCTGGAAGAGCTGGCCGCGCTCTGCGCCGCGCGCGGCCTTGTGGACACGCAGGCCTTGCTCGCGACCATCCGCGCGTACAACGACGCCGTGCACGCGCTGCCTGCCGACAATGCGGCTGCTAGATGGAACCCGGCTGTCAAAGATGGCTTGTCCACGGGACCGCACCTCGTGCCGCCCAAGTCCAACTGGGCGCTGGCGCTGGATACGCCGCCGTTTCTGGCCGTCAAGGTGACGTGCGGCATCACCTTTACGTTTGGCGGCCTGCGCGTGGATCCAGCGACGGCACAGCTCGTCGGCGAGAAGGGGAGGCTGATCCCAGGCGTGTACTGTGTGGGCGAGATGCTGGGAGGCTTGTTTCACGGCAACTATCCAGGCGGCAGTGGCCTCACGTCTGGTACGGTCTTTGGGAGGAGGGCAGGCAGGGCAGCAGCCGCATATGCCGGGCAAAGGGACATCAATGTAGGAGCGTAATGGGCGGCGCAAAGAAAGATGGGGTTTTATGTAGTCGTAATGTATATTTTGTGGTATATGTTGTGGCTTGAGAAAAGACAAACGCCGATGCTATGCAATACAATATTCTAAGGGGTGGCATACCCCGAATCAGAAGAGCCACCACTCTTTTGCTTACCTTGTTGAGCTTTATCTGTTTTGGCCTCTGCTGCGACCAGCTCTTGCTTTTGCTTCTTTTTATTCTTCTTCTTGTCCTTGTCGTTCTCGTTGTCCTTTTCCTCTTCCTGATCCTCATTACCCTCCCCGTTGTTTTTCTCAGCATCCTTGTCCTTCCCATCCTCGCTCTGACCCTCGTTCTCACTCTCATCCCCAGTTTCGTCGCCGTCCTCTTGTTCGTCTTCTGTTTCGTCCTTCTTGGACTTCTTGGACTTCTTCTTTTCCGTCTTCTTGCTCTTCTTACTTTTCTTGCTCTTCTCCTTCTCCTTCTCCTTCGCCTTCTCCTCCTTTTCCTTTTTCTCCTTTTCTTCCTTTTCCTTTAGCTCCCGCTCTTCCTTGTCCTTCTTGTCCATGCGCATCTGCACCACCCACGCCTCGACGGCGTCGACGGCCGCCTGCGAGGAGCGCTTGTGGCGCAGGAGCAGGCCCTGAATCTCGGCGGGGCTGAACTCGCCCGCGGGGATGCGGCGGCCAAACTCCTTGGCGAGCACGGCCACCTCGTCAATGAGCGTCTCCTTGGCCTTGGTCTTGGTCAGGGCGCCCTCCGCAGGCTCGCCGTCAAAGGGCGTGTAAATGGCCTTGAAGATGGACTCGCTCATGTCGGCGTCGGCAAGCTGGAAGGGGATAATCATGTCTACGCGACCGGGGCGGATGAGGGCCTTGTCGAGGCTCTCGAGGTGGTTGGTGGTCATGATGAGGACGCGCCCCTCTTGAGCCGCAACACCATCGAGGATGTTGAGCAGGGCGGAGAGGGAGAGTTGACCCTGAGAAGGCGTGCTGTCGCTGCCGTCCTTGTCGTCGTCGTCCTTCTTCTTCTCGCGCGTCTTGGACAGACCGGCAGTGTCGATGTCTTCCAGGAGAACAATGCAGTTGGTAGGGAGTTCTGCAAAGAGAGACGCAAGATTCTCTTCCGTAGCCGTTAGAGAGCTCAGGCTGACAATGTAAATCTTCATGCGAAAGTAGCCGGCGAGAGCCACGCTGAGGGAGCTCTTGCCCGTGCCGGGTGGACCCCAGAGTAGATAACCTCGTCGGTACGGGATACCGCGGTTGGAGTACCAGCGACGGGTGGACGGCTCGAGGTAGTCGCCGGCATCGGCAATGATGTCCTTCTTGATCTTGTCGGGGAGGATGACGGTGGAGAAGTCGCGGTTGGGGCGGGACATGCAGCGCTGCCAGTAGCTGTCGGTGCCGTAGCTGGAGACGGAGCTGGTGGCGCGGTAGATGATGGTCTTGCGATCGTCCTTTTTGAGGTAGAGCAGGCGGGCGTCGGCAAGAAGGCGCTTCAGGATGGCCGGGTTGCGGCCGAGGCACGAGACGCAGAGCTCCTCCTGCTCGCTGGGGTTGCGCAGGCTAATCTTGTCCTTGGTCTGGCGGCGGGAGAAGCGCAGGGGGACGCCCTGGTAGAAGAACCAGTGGGTGCCGGCCGAGGGCGTGTAGTGGAGGACGTGCTTGCCGCGGTTCGAGGTGAGCGCGGGGTCCTCGCCGCCGGGCGCGTGGGCGGCCGCACCGCCGTCGTCCCCGTCGTCGGCGTCCCCGTCGCTGCTATCGTCGTGGGCGCGGTACAGGTAATCGCTGCGCGAGTAGACGGACGTGTTGACGACGAAGTTGCGGGTGCGGTGGCAGAAGGGCTGGCGGGTCATCCACCACATGAGGATGTTGTACGTCTCGTCGTCGGTGTGCACGGTGAAGGAGGACATAAAGGCCGACTCGACCAGGCCGACGACGGTGTCGCAGACGTGGCGCCAGCACAGGACGACGGCGACGGCGGCGAGGATAAAGGGCAGGTACCGGTTCGCATCGACGCCGAGGCTGGTGTGCAGCGTGGAGAGGAGCACCGAGTACCCGGGCAGGAAGTAGTTGAGGAGCGCAAACTGCGGCGACGGGATGCCGGCGCCGTCGTCGGCCGGGCCGGGGAGGGCCTGCTGGCTGGCGTGCAGCAGAGGATCCATGACGGAGAAGGGCCAAAATAAAAAAAAGGCTTTTTGTCTTTGCTGCGTGAAGCTGCTTCCTGTTTGTGTGGGTTGGAGGTGGTTTGCTGGAAGCTTGCCTGTTTGGGCCACAAGGCAGCGCCAGAAACGCAGATGTGTATCAAGGCGAGGATGGAGAGTGAATGAGGTGAGCCTGGAGAATAAGGGAGAAGAGAAAAATCAAAGCTGAAGAGAGGGAAAGCTGGAGGTTCTATATAAGTTTTTGAAAATCATTGAGCAAGGGACCATTGTCCAGTCAAACGGGAGGAGGGGGTGTAGAATGGTGTTGTTGCCTAACAACCCTGGTCGTTTAAGCGTATTCACGCCGCTTCAACGCATAAATTGCCACCGAGAATATGGAGATTGGCCGCTAACAGCGCACTCAGTAATTTTGTACTCCGTAGTACTCCGTTACGCAGATGGTTTGCCGATTGAGTCATCCAAGCCCCTTGTTAGCGTAGCGGCGATGGGTGATGGGTTAGAGGAGAGGGTTGGTTGAAGACGTTTTTGCAACTGCCAAACGAGAGGATGAGCCTTGGGTCAGCATAAAAATTCATGGCCGTGATTCTTTTAAATGAAACGTTTCCTAATTTTAATTCTCCTTTTTTGTATTTTTTGAAAGCAGTTGGCCCGTCTTGTAGGCTACTTCACCCACGCGTGGCCTTGTCCATCTTACACCATGTCGTTTGTTATCCTCACCCCCAATCTGATCATTTACACCACCCACGCTGCGCCTCGGGGCAATGCATGCAGCAAGGAAAAAAGCAAAGAAAACCCAGCATTGCAGTCCCCTGTTTCTTTCTCTTAGCGGCGAATGGACCCTGCAAGGCTGATTCCCCACGCAACTACAGATTACAATTATTGTATCCGGAGAGTGGTGACGTGGCCAAGACATGCCACTTACAACACGCATCGTGTCTTTAACTATAAGATAGGGCTGAGTTGGGGCAGCAAATGGGAATGTGATTTGAACGCGGTGCGTGATGGCACGTGAGGACGCCCTGTCCGTAGTCGATATCTTTCTGGGAAGCTGCCGCGACCTTGTTCCCGGTCCTGGTATTGCTGGTGGCTATGCTATGCTCGTGTAACTTGCACATCATCCCCCCCGGCCAACAGTCATGCCGATCTTGTGCAAGGGTCATGTTTTTACGTTGCAAGCGAACCCATTGGATAATGTTGTACTTTGTACCAATTGTCTGTTGGTAAAGAAAAAAAAAAGGCTGTCTGATGTTCAGATACTCTTTCACTGTAACTCGTAACTAAGCCAGTAGACGGCCGCCCTACCCATTACGACTTTCATTGCTCCTTGTGCCAGTCGAGCACCATCTCCGTAATCGACCAGTACCCCCAGCTCCGCGCCTGCGACAGCGGCGTGCGGCCGTAACCGTCCCGAGCCTGCACCTCGGCCGCGCCCGTCGCCAGGAGCCGCGCGACCTCGGCCTCGTCGCCGCGCACCACGGCGTACATGAGCGGCGTCTAGCTGAGCCTGTCGTGTGCGTCCAGTGCCTGCCGGAATCTGGGGTCTGGGGTCAAGTGCGACCACTGAAGTCTAACTACCTTGGTAGCTGTAACTCCCACAACGACATAGTACAAGTCGTCCTACCTGATCATGTTCAAGTCTGTGCTCCAGCTCATTTGCAAGATCTAACCATTATGCATACTAATTCGCAACTAATATTCGTCCAAGTCGTACTGTGATTCTATTAATACTCCATCCAGGTATCCAAAACGCCGTTCAAATCATGCATCTAGTTATGTTCTGCGAGGTCCCGTCTCGCCCCGTCATTATTTCCACGATCCCGTCTCTCCTTCTCTCATCCCCCTACTACTGTCTCCCTATCCGCACCGATACTGCTCCACGCCTGGTCCCCTCCCAGGCGGGTCGCAGATGGGACTATCCAGGTAGCTGGCGTAGCGCACGCGGCCAGCAGGCCCTTCGCGCCAGACGTAGCCGTCGCCGTCCTCGCCGACCGGCGTCTCCATGGGTGCGTAGCGCCTTGCGCGGCGGTCATGCGCCGGCGGTGGTCTAGTGGGAGGAGACCACGCGACTTCGGTGCACGGCCGCGATGCCGGTCCATAGCTGCCCCAAGGGTCGTATGGGTTGCCGTACTCCTCCGGGACACACCCGCCTTCGACAGGGCCGGGGACAGGGCCAGACCATCCGCCCTCACCCCCGGGCCACCCGCCCTCCCCGGGCCACCCGCCCTCACCGGGCCACCCACCATCGCCGGGCCACCCACCATCGCCGGGGCCACCAGGCCACCCGATGGCGGGCATTGCGCACGAGTAGCAGAAACCTCCCGGGATGTGCCCGCAGCCACCGCAATCGTCGTCGTCGTCGTCATCTTCTTCATACGAGTTCCGACCCCGTGCGATCCAGCGGAATTTTGGGTTGCTCTCCTGGTACCGCAGGTGGGTGCCGTCATACCAGGTGTTTTCGGGCAGGATATCGCTCGTCTTGCGAATGTAGGATGACCCGGGAGGCATGCCGGCGCTCCAGCCTAGAAATCGGAAGCGCCTGCTCGGTGTTTTGGGCAGCTGCTTGTGACGGATGACTCGTCCTCCTTGACTGAGGGCGCCAATTGCGTTCATCCACGAGTATTCATCATTCGCCACGACCAGAAGCGCGCCTGACTTGTCGACAGGCATTGTGAAGAGCGTGCGGCAAAAATTAACTGAAGGATATTGGGGGCGGGGGGGGGTAGAGCCGATTGTGTGGTCAGAGATGTGTAGTTACTCTGCGGCGTCCATACGGAGAGGGATTGAATAACGAGCAGGAAAGGGACGGCTGGGTATGGTAAGGATATTTATGCCGTCGGAGCAGTGATACAGAGCAGAGTGCTATCCGTGATGGGCCGTCTGGCCGCAGTTGCCTATGCTACACGGCGTTTGGCCAGGTGCGCAGGCGCCTAATACAAAGAGGCAGACCACAAGGCAACTCAAAGGCGACGGAGCAGGTCGCCTGCGGGGGAGGGCACACAGTGCAGTCACTGACGGCGCTTCGGTCCGGGAACGCTTTTTCTGTAAAGAAAATGGTGATTTGGTTTCGCGCCGTGGCGCTGTCGCAGGCCGACCAGTGAGTGACCTTTGATTGTGCACCCAAGTGCAGTTGTTTCCCATGCGTTCGCGCTGAGCGCCTCGGGCATCGAGACCGCCTCGAGGCCCAACGAACGAGCCCGCGCGGGCTGAGTGGGCGAACGAAAGGAGGGGTGAATCACACTGATTGGACCAAGGATAAAAAAGGCAACACAAAGCCCAACCCGGTGACTGGAGGTACCGCCAGTAATATGTCATGGAACCTGCCACGGCTGCGGTGCGACCAAAGAGGACATAACAGTTTCTTAGGGTCTGACGTCGGGTCAGCCCTCGCCGGGTGACGGACATGTTACCCCGACATGCTTTTCCCCTTCTTCTCTTTGGGCCTTGCCTGGTCGTACTGGGGGCCACAGGGCGCTGGAGATGGGTTGTGGACGGTGAGGACCGAGTGATTGGTCGCACTTGTGACGGACCCTTTGTGCGGCCAACGGGAGGGAGAAAGAGGCCGGGCGGCTACTTGACGGCGGCGCTTCACTGGCTTAGTAGAGCAGTAGTACATTGTACGCGCCGGATGCCGTCGATAAATTAAACAACTGCACCTTGTAGTAGTTAGTTAGTTATTGCGACCCGTCAAGAACAAAAGGGACTAGAGTTCCTGGTCGCCGTTTGGGTCCTTGTGTGATGGTGTCGCGGGGCTCTCCAGTTTCTTGTCGCCCCTTGAACACGTGGGCCACTGCCACAAGGTGGCGAAGCAGAGAGCCGACCTGAGCCACGAATGCTCGATGAGTAAAGTGTAAAGTGGCATACACATTCATTATGCGAGATAATTAAGTGAGATATTATACCGATAGATAAACCATGTAATTTGTACGGAGTAATTGGTTATTAAAAGGGGATAAAAGCCACCCGATGCCGTCTAGCCTTGCCTAAAACGTTTGGTGCTGGGAGTTCGAACTACCAACGTAGCATCGTGGACTCTGGAGTAATGGGTGGGCCGAACCTGAAACGTTGGCCAGTTCTTGACGATGAATTAATGGATAAATGGATAAATGGATAAATGGAAGGTGACGTAAACAGTTCTTCTTGACCCCTTTTACGATTGACAGTGACAAGGGTTTCGCACTAAAGGTAGGACGTTTGGAGGAATGAAAATAGCAACAGGACAGCGAGAGCGCCATTTTCATGTCAAACTGTTTTATTTATGCTTGAAGCTTGCATAGCTTTGCCACTGGGGCAAGCCACGGCAACAAAGGAACCAGCCACAACCCCAACCCGGGCTTTTATGCAGGAAATTTGAGAGAGTCCTGTCCCGTCGCGCTAACAGTTTAAAGATCACGTCACTGCATGAGTTGGGGGATTCGATCATCTTGTGCTAAAAAGGAAAGTGGGAAGATGAAGATGGTGACCGGTCACCAACACCACAACACCATCTGTCGCTGACCATGCCCGTTATTTCACCCACGTTTCGAGGCCTCCCAGCCGCCCGGCCAAAACGGTGGCCTCACCAGAGGATCAAAAGTGGGCGGCCGCGAGTGTGCAAACATCCTTCTGCAATAGCAGTGCCATGTTATATAACTCGCAAGGTTTCGCGTCAATGCTGAGGCTCCGGCGCGGCGGAGATGCTTCCCGCAGGATGGGAACCCCACCAGCCGATTGCATGTCGGTCTTAATTCACTCTGTGCATTGGGCCATGAAGTCACTGAGTCGGATATCGTCTTATTACTCCGCAAATCACTAGCCGATAATAATAGTTACTAGTCAACTAGTTTACCAGAACACTGGATGGGGGCTAACAAGGTTTGCCTCTGCCGCTGAGCATTGGCTTCTGCGATCCACACGGCAATAACAAGAGGGGTATTATTCGGCGTCGGAGAGACAGTCGGCCATAATCACGTAACTATGATTTTTTGAGGGCATCCTTCGGCAAGTGCCGTCGCGGGGCTCAC